GCCTTGTCAACATGAGGGTCAGGAGGAAAGCATCACAGGCTTAAAACATCGGACAAACCAGAGCCGCAGTTGGTTGGGGTCTCGCAGTAACGAGCCTTAGATCCTGTGTTCCGAACAAGTCCGGGCCAGTGGGCTTGCCCGTTAAATCAAAGCCAGCAGAAATATTAGATTTTTGCTCTAGTCATCTACCCTCAGCTTGAAAAAGGCTGATATGATATGTCGAGAGTAAAATGCATCCCTACCATAAGGCTGCAACAACAATGGAGAATCAGCCTTGTATGGCTAGGCTTTATCGTAATGAGCAATAAGCTGATCAATTCTTTAACTCACAATCTATAAAGTGTCCCTTTTCTCTCAGAATACTCAGCTTCTGGATCTACCACGATTTTGTGATAGATAGATTTCTCCTATCTCATTTATCTACGAAAGTTTTTTGTCTTCTACAATATATATACTGATTAGTCCTCGAAATTAAGGAGATATGAGCTCTATTGCCCAGCCCGAATTGGCTATGATAAGAAGCAGCACTGTCTCGCTCCCTAGCTATGAGTGGCCTCAGCATGATGAGCGGCATTACCAAGATCGGTATCCTCAAAAGCTAAAGATTCACCTTCTAGAGTCTTGGCTTTTTGCTAGATTCCTGTCTTTCCACAGGCAGGAATCATCTGCATTACCTATTGCCAATGCTCAGCACGCTCAGTGGTTTCAGTTAGCAACAAACACTCCTCAAATTTCAGCACTGCAGGAGATACAATATGGTCAACTCGAGCCTCCGAGAGGTACCACAACTAGGCCAAGCCTCAACTCAGGCAGTTCAACTGCATCTAAGAAAGGTAGAAAATTGAGATTCAAGCCAGCTGTCGATTCCCGCAAAGTCAGTCATAAGATGCGCAAAGCGAAACTCGAAGAGGTCCTGCAACCAATTATTAACGTGGAAGATCCGGGTTCATCCTCCATCTTACTGTGTTGGGGTACCAGCAGCAACTCTTTTATATTTCCAGTCAAAGTTATCAACTCAGATAACGAGAAGGGTATCTGGCAAGAAATTAATCGCTCATGGTATAGCCATAGAGGGTGGTGGAGAAAGTACGTGCCGCTTCTGAGAGTCAAGGCAGTAGAAATGCGATTTGCTGAGTCGCGGCCCTCTTGGGCCGCCGCCTCTGTTGGGTTTGGCGTCCGTGTCCGCCGCGCCGTATCCCGTATAGCGTCGTCCATTTGCGGTTTAGTCTGCCCGTATCGGGCTTAGTGTCAGGAACCATCCCGGAACGGGATCTGCCGTCCAGCACCGCCCGTCCAGCTGCCTCCTCGATCTATATAAACTCGCGGTGCGTCGCTCAACGACAATACTCTTTTTCCCATCAGTCTCATTTCCCCTGGAAGTCCAGGCAGCAGCAACATCCCTGCTCGGCTGACGTGTCTCCTTGTTAGCTGAAATCTCTGTATCTGCGACACAGCCCCCTTCTCTACTCGCGAGATTGGATTGACCTGCCTGTTTCGAAGGAGAACGAGGATGGATCTTGTCAGCTTATCCTGCAGGATTCGACAGGTCTTTTTTTGTTATCCCACTGTATCCAGTCAAAGCGTACCCATTCTTCGTGATTCTTTACTTTGTTAGGTATTGGAATTGACATCCTAGGTTACAGTACTTTCGTATCTCGCGTGCCCTACAGCTAGGATGTTTCGCCCTCCTCACGCGGTGGGCAAAGTACGGTGGAAAACGGAGCAGGTGGAGTGGGACCAATCTACTCTTTGCTCTAGGATGGCTTGCGCGGATCCCAAAAACGCCTTGTGACGGTTTACGAATGTAACGCAACACTCGAGGTAGGTTGTCTCTTCTCCAACAGGCCATCGCTGAACATGTTATCGACCAGCCGGCCAATTTCCGAACCCATAGCTTATCTCAAAAATGCTTTATGGAAAGCTGCGGCTGAGCTGACACTTTTCAATTGATTTTGGGCTATCCTATTTGAAATAAACTGCAAGCAGTGCGTTGTTGCTAGTCAAAAGGGGAAGTCTTTTGGGCTGATCTTTGCACTGTTCTAAATATTTTGCTGGAGTATAGCAACGCTGCAGTATTACTTGATCTATTTACGACCAAGTAGTTGATACTTCTACAGTGATACTTTTTTTTTTCTTTTTGTCGAGGCGGTTCGGCGATCCGCTCGATATGCTATCCAAATATAATGGCCGGCCGATGGAGTTCGTCTCCGGCTGTACTATATTATAGTCTTTTGGAGTATCTTATTCTATAAGTACTGTCAATCCTTTTGCTTTGCTCAGATCAACCAGTGAATATATTATCTGATCTGTCCTCCCACGCTTCTCCATAACTGCTATAACTATTGAAACTCACACCCGCTGTATGCCAGAGGGCTTTTCGAGAGATGCAAGTGAATCTTGATTAAATAGAGTTCTACTACAGCCCCAGCCGCCAGAGGCCTCGAAGCACACTGGTCTCTACTTGTAGAAATCGGCCAGCTCTTATCTATATACCACAGCCCTTTCAGCGTTCTTTTTTTTTTCACTGAGCCTGTCTTCATCCAAGTACCGGCACCGACAAATATACTAGACTCTTCGGTATCTATAATATATAAACAGCCCTCTACTGGTTTCACAAACCCACGGAATATGTTTGATGTCAAGATATCGAATTTCTATGGCAGTGCCGTATCTCAACTACAAATGATTACAGAAAGCAAGTTCCTGGCTACTATAAATATATCAGGAACTCTTGAATCTCCGCTGGGTCTTATGAAATGCTCTCTACTATTGTCAGAGACACCACTATTTGAAGACTCTATACCGACGTCGCCAACTAAAAATACACTTGAGCAAGAAAATGGACTGTCCAATAATATTCTCGGTACTATTGACACAGCAACTTCTCGCTACTCTATGCTGTCTACAGCCGCACCTGAATCAGCCAGCAATGTGGCCGGCAGTCTTTCTGTGTGCGGTGATTTTCAGCAAGAACCAGTTAACAATGCTACATACAAGTCACATTACTTCCCAGATAGAGATCCATGCCCAACGACAACCAATGCTCTGGAGCAGACAGAAAATCCCGGGGTAGCTGAGGACAAGTCTATTCTATCCTGCTAATTATATCAGTCGAATGCACCCTCTAGCCCAGAATGTCCCGCTAGCCTAGCCACCCCAAGCGTCGATAGACCGGAATCCTACCCATCGATTGCTGTGGTTGTACCGGTACCTCCATGGGCGCGAGGAAAAGTTACCAGGGCAACCACAAGGGTCGCTGTGGTGACTTGCAAGAAGCGGCTTCGAAACAGAGGCAGTGGCAATGACTACCGGGATCCTGAAGTATCAATTCTTGACGCGACTCGACAGCGCCCGAAGGAGAAACCAAAATCTAGGGTGAAGTCTCTTCGTCATTCACGGGGCGGTTCAGACCCCGTTCCATGTCATCGTTCTCGTGCTATCCATGAGGTCCGCGGAAGAGCCATCCTCACCGTTGAATCCAGTGGACCGAGGCCAGCATATTATTTCACATTCGTTCCAGACGCTAGTCCGATGTTGGCTCAAACCCCTCCGGTGGATACATCAGGAAAACAAAGGCCATATACGTCAGAGGAAAATGCACTGCTGGTACGACTGAAGGAAAGAGAGAGAATATCATGGGCGGAGATTGCTGCACACTTCCCTGAACGAAGCGCATCATCCCTCCAAGTTCACTACTCAACCAAATTACGCAACAAGGCTACCACTCAGGCTGGAAGCTACGAAATCGCCGATGAGAGGCACTGGGCTCTAGATCGCCCAGACCAAAAGAAGCGAACAAACCTTTTTAGTCTATTTATCTTCCGACTGTCGACTCCCCTTCCTGATGGTGAAAGTCAACTATCTGAAGAACCATTAATTCCTGAAGAGGAAGCCCTGGAGTGTCCAAGGGATGTTTGCATCATCTGTTATAGTTTATCTTGCCGTTCAGCGTCCAATCATCCCCATGAATTTCCCTCCCGACGAATACACTCTTCATAAATATATAAACTCGGTCCAAGATGGGCACACACAAAGCCTTCGACAGAGAGGCTCTGCCCCAGCAAATATAGGAAATATAAGTTGAGCCACAATAAATAAGATTCATTCGTACAAATGCAATGCTGTTGCTTAAAATGGGAATTGAGTTACACTTCCAATATGTCGAAATCAGAAATCAAAAAGAATGACAAAATAAAATCGAATACAGGAACAGGAGAGTTTGGAATTAGCGACTGTCCGTAGAAGGTAGCCGCTATCTTCACCTGGCTCGGTCTGATCAGGGTCTATTTCACACCTGATTTAGTCCTGGATTGCTGATTGAGGGAATACAAGGTTTCTGCCTGGCGAAAAGATTGGATTCCCTCTATCGTTATGTGATCAGTCTCGAATCCCAAACGATAGACCACTGCGCCTGGTCCAAGAGCAGACATGTATCTTTGCAATTGCTTCCTCGTCTTCGCAGCGACGAATGGGTTTGCTTTGAACCCAAAGTAGTTTTTGTATTCTAACCAGTGACACAATTTTCCATGGATTGATACAGGCTCCAGGAACCGAATATCAGGTGTTGGTTGCAGATTTCGTTCTTTTTGCTCACTTTCAGTGAGGAACCGATAGTCCATCGCTCTTATTTGGTGGGTAAAGCTGTTCTCCGCTAGCTGCGCATCCTTCATTTTCTTTTGCAATCTTTCCTTGCCTTCGGGCGTGTTGTCAGGTGGCAAGAGACGAAGGGCAGCCTCGATGAGGGCTGCGACAATCATATGATCTAATTGTGTGTTGGTATGTCGCAATATGGTATCCACATCAGGCTTCATAAAACGAAGGCGACATGCCATTTTAAAAATAGGCATGACTGCATTCCGAGGCACTCCGAGATATGCGGGATAGATATCTGTGACGGTGACCCCAATCATCATTGGAGAGCCATCACTCAGTCCTTGCCGGGCGCGTTGTGTCCCTTTGGAAGGGACATTGGGGTGGCATGAGCCGCCAACTAGATATACACTCTGACACTTTGAGTTTTCCATGTGCTGTTTCTTTGACCGGGGCGATTTGAAGAATCTCTGGCATCTATCACAGCAGTGCTTAGAGGATCGAAGGTGCTGTTCCAGAGATTTTGTATCCAGGAAATGTTGCTGGCAGTGTTGACAGTAAGCCATAATAAACGCAATGTAGTCAAGGAGAAGCAGCACTGGTCAGAGCGTTCAAAGAAATAAGTATTGAGATCGCACATAAACATGAATTTAATCTTTGTTTCTAAATGGGCTGCCGAACTTTAAATAAACTCCTAAAGATATCTCCACCTCGAGATATAACCGATGGTCTTCATACAATATGTGTTTTTATGGTAACGTATTGGGCAACAGCCTTGATGGCTGGCGGAGCGAATGGGAAGAGAGAATGCAACGACATGACTCGCGAGTACCAACACACGATTATATCAGAGCTGAAATATTGGTCTCGTTGCAGTTGGAGGTAAGTGCTGATTGGAAGGCCTGTATAGTCGCTTTGGCTGACATTGAAATACGTCCAATGGGCCACGTGTGCCTCTTTCCGTTTTTAGCTATATACATAGACTCAGGAATCCCTCCTGTTCTCTCTGTAAAGTACATCCATGTTTAGAGTAAATGCGTTTATAACCTGATTGATAAGTTATTTGATTTTTGAATTTTACTTTCACCACCAGCTATTATCAGTGAACTCGGAGAAAATTCCGTAATAGAGGGAAGACCTATAGACCAACTAAAGACTGAACAGCTTATTGTTTATTACCATAAGACGTTGCTGCGCGAGGCTGAACGAGGCTGAACGAGGCTGAACTCCATAACTACAGTCTAATATTGAGTGTGGGTTTATTATCAGTATTGAATATTTCTGGAAGCCGAGAGTAAACAGCCGGCTAGAAAAGCAACGCCGAGGCCTTATCTTGGTTGTGAGGTGAGAGGACAAAACCAACTGGTCCATAATTTGTCTAAGACTGCCATGGTCACCAGACCCTACTGACCACCAATCGGCTAACTGTAGCGGCTCCGGTTTGCCTGGGGTCGCCATGTCTGCCTTATCATGCTATTTTCAGTTTAACTTGAATTGGCTAGTGTAGCATTGCCTTCTTTTCCTTAACACTTGCATAGGAAGGGATAAAATAGCTGATACCAGCCACTTTACGATCTAAGAGGAAGCAAGAACAAGAGCATCCTTGCAGGATGAAGCCAATCAACAACTACAGCGTGTCAGTATGGTATTGGTCCTCAGAGAGACATTGGCTATGTATCTAACGAAAAGTAGGTAAAGGCTTGCCAAGACAAAAGAATCGCTGGCTTTAACGGATGACTTTGACAACCCTGTTATGACACATGCAGTCACACATAATGAGGGTAATAACAACCAATAAGATGATTACAGAATAGCACTAAAGAAGGAAAGGGTAGCAATGATAACCGCCACCAACGCAAATGTGTAGCTTCCCGCTGTCAGCCCCATGTTTATACTCTGTCCGACAGTAGCCCCGAGAATGGCAATAAACATACTAAGTGACACGGCCAGACCAACTAGAACCAGCAGTCTCTGCGTGTGCCACCCATCCACGAGCAGCAGAGCTAGAATACCCTCGCCAGAACCATCACATGCATCGAGAAAATATGTAGTTCTCAAGTCCCTGTATAATAATCAGTAAGGTTTCTTTGCTTTAAATACCGTATCATTACCTGTAACGGGTGATGAAACCAAGATACTCGAGAAAAATTAAAAAATTACTCATCCCTCTTGAGCTCCAGTAAACTTCCAGCAAAGTCTCACTATGCTCCAGTCTTCGCTTTCGCCGTCTTAGCCGGTGGTGATGTTCCAGAGAACAGTAAAACTTAGGGCACTCCTCAGTGCCATCCATGGTTAGATTTCTACAATTCTTGGGATTAGAACATAGCTCAAGCATACCATCTTCGCTGAAGCCGGCACGGCACTCCGAGTCAAACTCGCATTGTTCTATCACTCTTTCGATCCTTTCCACTTCGGCGGCGAGATTGATGGGTAATATCATAACCTCCACCTCTTTGCTGTTCCTTTGCCGTAACACATGCATCTGCAGCTCAAATCAGTTCTAGTTAACAGGAAGAATTTTTGCTCCGACGAACCCTGCATTACTCTCGGCGAGTCAGCTAGCGTCAGCCTCTGCGTGAGGGAAGGTGCTATGCTATTTCTCGAAATGCTGCCAGCTAATCTAAGCCGTACTAGTTTATACCATTAAGCTAGCATAGACGTCCCGAATGGAAAAACAGAATTGAAGTGCAAGCTGTTTGAGCTGTTTGTACACCATGTGGAATATGTAAACGACACAAGGCCAGTGCGACCCGAGCGCGGATATCCATTCAGAACATGGCCTGGGATATCCAACCCACAACACCATCAAGATTCTAGCTTGAGGATGCTAGATGCAACTACTGATATTTTCAGAAGATTTCAGCATAAAGGCTCTGCTATATATTGTCCACTCTGTATAAAACCCGTCGGACATAAGAGAAATATTTCCAACCCCCCTTAGATCTGCTGTGCTTCGATATCCAATAATTGAACATTCTCGACGCTCTAGTGCCAACCTTGAGGTGCCAGAGCCATGTGTCTCCCTTTGCCATTGTAACTAGCTGATCTGGAAGCCAGGATCCTGGCATTGGCTTCTGCTTGGACCTTTTCTGCCCACCTCTGGCTCAATTTTCGATTGTACTTCTGCCACAACCTGGGTAGAAATTGGACATCTTGTACACAGTACTGCATGATATCCAGAGCAAGGGGGCGAACATTGAATACCTCATAGCTACCTCCACATTCTGGAGCAAATAGCTTTAGTCCTTTTTCTTTTCCAAGCTTCCATGCATTTCGTTCTGATAGTGTCATAGGCGCATCATTCTCAATACATTTTGCTAGGCCATGGACATATTTTTTCGAAAAATTACGTGTCGCAAGCTCCATCAGTTGAAGGTCTTGCACACCAGCAAGCGTAATTCCAAAGCAATTGTAGAGGGCATCAGAGTCATTGCGAACGTCAAAGAAGACTTTTGGAACAGATTCCGTTTCCAAAAGTTTTTTAAGAGTCTGACCATTGCTTGCTGCTTTCGCAAAGGCATTCTCCTTCAGCGTATGAATATCAATCAGATAGGTCCTGTTGTGAGGCAGAACAAAAATCTGAAGTATCGAGATGCTTCCATGCCGCGAGAGGTTGGTACCTTCAAGGTCAAGATACAACGATGGGGGATCTGCCGGTAACTCGAACAGTTCTTCAACAACATCAGCTACACTGATAGCGGTGTTGAGAAAGACATATGGCTGGTTTGCTTGAAGCGTTGTCCTCGCGAGAGAACTTGTAATCTCAGATATGTCAGCTCTGATCACGGCTTTTGCTGTAGTATTCGCTCCTGTAGCACCTTCGTCGGTTGTAGTATCGTTGATGATAGCTGCTGGAACATGAGAAAATGCACAAAGTTGGGTGGTAGTAATGACTTACTAGACATGATGTTTAGGTCCGCTTAGATACGAAAATAATGTGCTTGGTAGCCAACAGAGTATAGTTCGATTTAGATATACGGATAGTGATGTCCTTAATATGCAAAGAGTAACTAAATCACGAGAGACTGTAATGGGTATTTTTACAAGGCTAGAACGGCCCATAACGCTTCATCTTCTCCAATCATCCAGCATGACCAGACAGCTAGCTTAGGACGCATATACAGGGATATTGAGCAATAACCTAACACGGAATAGCCAATACGACATTAACCATGAAGGCTGCTACTCATGGGACATTATCGCAGCCCAGTAGTGCACATGACAGTAGCGTTCTTTGTTAACGCAGCCTAGGGTAGCACAGAAGTAGTATGTTGTCACCGCAGATCAGTAAAGAAATAGAATCTGCGCGCTTGTCGCCCAGACTTGGGACGCTGGATATCATTTCCCTGCCTTTTGCATAAGGTTGCATATTTCGAATCGTTCACATTACTCCACCAGTCAGTTTACACTATGGTAAATCAGTAGTATACCCAGAAAAAGTATCTCTTTCTGCTCGTCGCAATCCGTAACTGTAGCCTGGTCTCATTTTCTCATAGTTTTCTTATTCTCAATAAGACCTAAATTCGACTAAGCTGCATCTCAGCCGTTTTATTTGGGCACATACCCCTTCTACTCCGGCCAAGATGGATCTCCTTGCCAAGAACAAATTTATTCCAAGCGCTTCGTATAAAGTACGAGTGGATATAGGATAATATTATATGATGACGTTTCGTAATTTATAGTACAACTTTTAGATTTATTATTACACTGGACCCAATTTCTATTGGTAAGACATCTCGGCTGACTGACAGTGCCCGTGCGCCATGTTAGCAGATGCAATGATTTGATTGTCGTCGTTCGCTAAAGCCTTTCGATGTCTCATTGGATAAGAGTATGTTTAGGGTGGCATCACACTCACTCCAAGGTCGTTAAGTCATCCGGCCCAAAATACATTAGGGTTGCCGAAGGCCACTGTCAAGTGTCACGTTTGCCGGACTCTAGTGTTTCCCCCTCCATCTACAGTCGTGCCCCGGCCTCATGTCAAGATACCTTCACTCACAGTGTTCATATCACCAAAAGACTTTGTTACGATTCCTCTCTTGTGCTGGATCTTTTTCCAAGATATTCTACTAAAATACAGTACGTCATCTCTAGAATGAATGCGCTTCTTGCCTATGCTGACGACACACTTCGCTCACCTTAAAGAAGAGAGCTACAGTACTCAAGCTGAGTTGTAAACACATTCAGACACACTATTCTCTTTCCTGTTATACAACGAGTATTCTGTGCTTCAAACGTCGGCAGCAAATATACCCCTCTGATTGACACATATACGTCATCCATTGATAAAAATCATCACCAATCCGCATTTAACAAAAATGCAAGATTGTGAAGTCTGCCGCTGCAGGAATACTGATATGGCTCTTATTGGCTGGGCTATTTCCTTGAGAAGTCTTCAAACTGGATTTTTGGAAGGTTGTGAATGGTGTGAATTCTTTATGAATTGTGCCAGCCTCTATGAAGATAAATGGGCTCATTTACCGCGAGATCATACTAATCAGGTTTATTATGAAGTGACCCGGATGCTTTTTTCAGACATCCAGGAGGCTGAGCTTTCATTGAATTGGCCGTCTTCTATCAATACGGCTGAACCTTCAACATATTTAGAGCCTACTGAACCTGTAATTGACAGCATTCGTCTTGAATTTGAAGTTCAAGATCATCTACGCCATGTCAGTTCCCTTTCTATGAAATAAAACATTATGCTGATGTACAACAGGTACCCTTATGGTTACCCCTGAAGACAAACCCAAGTGCGAACACTTGGTGCCACGACTCTGCTGCGCCCCAATACTTTGCTCTGATAGAATCGTGGATTAAAAGATGCGAAAGCGACCACCCTGAATGCAAAGTCATGCGTGAAAATTCCTTGGTCAACCCTAAGAGGCTTTTGCAGATATCCAGTACGCTGGGAGAGTCGCGTGTCTACTTGGTTCAAGTCGGGAAATGCGATTCACCTAGATATACAGCGCTAAGCCATTGTTGGGGAAACACTCCTAGCTTTAAAACAACTAGACAAAATCTTGAGGCACATACAACTGAAGGTATCATGATCTCGAAACTTCCGCGAACCTATCAACATGCAATTGATATCACTAAGAGGATTGGCTGCCATTATGTCTGGATCGATTCTATCTGCATCATTCAGGATAGTAACGAGGAGTGGGAGTTAGCTTGTGAGACCATGGGCCATATTTACGGTAACGCACATGTTGTGATTGGAGCTACACTTGCGCCAAATGACAGTGCCGGTATTTATACGCATAGGAAGAATGAGGTGGCCTATATTGAAAACCGTGGGAAACGAGTTCCTATTCTTGTGAGGGAGAAAATAAGACATGATGTTTGGCAAAACGATGAACCCTCGTGGCAGGCTTGGAACGACCAAGGTATGCCACTTTTTCGCCGTGCTTGGGCTTTTCAAGAACGCCTTCTTGCTAGAAGAATAATACATTACACACAAGAGGAGATAGTCTGGGAATGCAGATCCGACTCCTGGTGCGAATGCGGGAGATTGGGCACTGATCGAAAACCAAAAGGAAGATTTCCTCAATCAAACAATTTCAAAACAAGATACGCGCAAGTCATCAAGTATGGTAGCGATACGGATCGTTTTGAGTTATGGCTTTCAATTATCGATCAATACCAAGCACGAGGAATCACGCACCCTAAAGATCGCCTCCCTGCACTTTCAGCTATCGCAGCGCAAGTTAACCGGGGTAACCTGATGGGCTCGTATGTTGCTGGTATGTGGGTGGATTGGCTATTGAGTTCACTTTTGTGGTGGTCAGACGCAACTAGCTCAAAGGTGGCCAAAAGCGACGAAAGTCATAAGAGGCCCAATCCTTCTAGTGCACCAACATGGTCGTGGCTTTCCGTGGAGGGGCCCATCAGCACCTGGGGGAGAAATTTTCTATCGGATATCAAATTGGTGAACATCGAATATACGTTAGCCGGTGATAATATTTATGGGCCCTATAACACAGCAAAGCTTGAACTTGAGGGCCGGATGATTGGAGTCATGATACATGCTGTGGCCTCCCAGCTATACATAGCTCGGTCATACCAGAGTCTAGAAAAAGCAGATTTTTTCCCTGACACCAACCCTTTCGAAATTAATCCAAACAAGCTTACCCAGAGAGAGTTCTATGCCTTGAAGTATAGCAGATCCTCGTCGGTATCGTGGAATTGTCTGATCTTGACAGTAAGTGCCGGAGGAAAGGAGTTTTGGAGGGTTGGAATAGCCGAGGTTGGCCTGGGTTGGTTCTCGAATGCTTCATGGAAAAGAATAACAATAGTATGATCGAGAAAGTAGGCTGTATTCACTTGAGATGCGTTAATATGTGACCCATGGCACAGAAGAGAAGTCAAATGCTCTAGTTGGTAGAAATCAGACAGTCTTTAGTTACATAGTACAGTACTAAGCTGAATATGGTTCAACCTTCCTTCCGCCAGAGCCACCACTTATCAATGTGAGGCTGTCCGCTAACAGATGCAATCAACTCACTGAGTGATATTAAGGAAGGCTTTTGGAAAATAATGTGATCTCTGTGGCTCAGAAACACCCGGCAGAAATTTGACAATGGCAGCAATGCGTGTCTACTTTTTCTTCGTGGCTGAGTACATGTTCAATCCAGATAAAACTGGTATCTTGGGTCCATTCATCATAGTCCTTGTTGAAACCCTCGTAACAGTCAATGTCAAATGATCATCCTTTGTGATGGAACCAGTCCTCGATTGCTTTAATCGACGACTTTATAGAGATCTGACCATCTGGTGGAGCAGCAATACAGCCGTCCATCTTTAGGTAGCCATATCGAACTAAATTAGGGAGGTCAGGGACTATTCGTTCGAAACATGTGATATGGTAGTATTCGATAGAGCCTAATATAAATCCATCAATTAGGAAAGGCCACTCACTTGCAGTTAACATCCGTACTAGAACGTGCAGGCATCGCTTTCAAAGCTAATGATTGGATGCCTTGCAGTGCGAAGAATGGCACTGGAGCACCATAAGGTGGATCAAGACCAAAAACCTGACCAGACACCTTCACGGACGTCGACCTGCTGCGAGAACAAGGGTTTCGAAACGTTCTATTCTTAGGCCCTGTCCAGGCGTTCTTCCGAGTCAGTATCGCCAGGTCACCCACGCCTTATCCTTGCTAGTCTACTGCGATGGCTCGTAAGATCGTCCAATATCAACATAGTGCAGCACCCACTGCATTATCCACCAACACAGCAAAACGTCATTCAACGAGTCACTGCCTTGGTATGTGTATCCGCAGAATACGGAGGTTAATCTGCTGTGATCGTGTGTCACGCTGGCCTGGGACGAAAAGCTGAACAGGCATATAAGATTTACTCCCCCGACAATCACTCATTCTGTATTTTCATTTCTTCTTCCACACCTACCTTTATATCCTGAACATTGCCTCATAGACTAGCTTGGCCTCATATCTCTACAATGACGACGTCTACAAAAAGATATCGAGACTCCCTAGAGGACGACCGTTGCATCTCCATAGAAAGACCGGAGGACTTTTCTATGTTGGGTTCTGCAAGTAATCCTATCTTCATTGATATTGAGAAAGCAAGTACCAGACTCCCTTCTCCTGGTGACACGGATGGCGACACCATCCCAGAAACTCCCAGCTATTGTTCGCAGAGTCATATCTGCCACGACCAGGAGGACGATAAACAGATCCACCTTTTCAGAAATGACATCGTCTCGGTGACTTCGGGTGGCCACATGGGCCACAGCATGACCAGGCATGGCGCTATACATGAGGGTGTAGCTGGGGAGTCTCCATTCTCTGGTGAGACAGCAGCCCAGCCGGCAACCCAGGATGACTGCATCCCAGGCGTTGTCTCACATGCAACGGTAGCTGAGAGTTCGGCGCGAAGCACAGGTATATGACTCTGTGCTGTAAATGGAGCAATAAACTTAATCATTCTAGGGCATACCACCGAGAGTGGTGGACCGGCGGCGTTACTTGGTAAACATGTTAGCGATGGTTCTAAATACATGCAAAATACGATGTTTACCCCGGTCGAACGAATCAATAACTGGACTTTGGTTGATGGTATGTTTCTTTGTACCTATTGAATGGAGGGGCGTTTGTTTAACTTGCACAGCGAACACCCAAACCGATGATCATCACCGGCCCAATTCCATCGCCATAAATCAATCTGGTGACCAGACCGACTCTATAACGGCCATCCTCACACACAGGTCAATGCCAGAGGGGCGTTTGACATTCCCTTGCCTCAGCGTAGAGTGGTACTCCCACCATGAGCTTCGACAGTGGGCCCAGGGCTGCTGAATGAGTATCTCTATCGTACCAGACTACATGAACGTCCTAGAGCACACAAAAGGCGAGCTGTTTCTGAAAAGCCCTTAGTTTCAGAGAAGAGAAAGAAATTTAGGGAGCTATAGGCCACGGCTCATTGTTTGTCTTACCTGCTTCGTCAGATCCCGTTTTATTGATTGAACACGTTCCGTATATAACTTAAATCAAATATTCATAATTAGTTGCTTATGACGCGTAATTGGAACTAGGCAATTTCATTGACCAACACTAAATCATAGAGATCACGTAAAGCACATTGCATTGAGCACATCGCTTTGTGTCAGAGCATACGAAGTCGTTTCCGCTCACGTGCCTCAACATTAAAATTGAACCTCGCCGACTGTGGCCGGTTTTTGTCCGGTCGTGGGTCTAGTCGAGAACAGTGGAAGTCGATAATCATAACACAGTTTTGCTCGGCGTTCCACAGAATATTGTCTGGACGAAGGTCCTGGTGTGCAGTGATCCATGAGAGGTTCGTTGATACTTTCATTGCTCGACCGCATCCACGGCCAAACAAGCCAAGCAAACTAGGACCTCGGAAAAGTGAGTTCCAGTCTTCGGCCGAAGGTTATTCCATTACCGGCAAAGGAAGCACGTGAAGCCAGGACTACAAACAAACTAGTATGATAGGCGATGTCCAATCCAAGCAGGTGGAATTCAGGAATTACCATTTTTTAGAATAAAAATGGAAGAGTAAAGAAAGAACTAGCCTCCCATTGTCAAAAAGTGAGGCTATTGATTTTCTCAACCCTTTTGCTCCGACTCATTATGGACTTGCAACAGGTAAGCTCTCTGCTGCTCCTCCACTCTGGACACCTCTTGCCTGAAACTGTCCACGGCGGCCGACAACCTGAGGTTATCACGATTGATTGATTGCGATACTGATTGGAAAATATTCCCTTGGTCGTTGACTCCTAGGAGAATGTAGTAAGACCTTTTAAGCGTGCCTCTGGTGAAAATGGAAGGTTGTGGCGAAGTGCAGCCGCTCAGACACTCAGATGTCTCAATGGGTGGGGCTTTGCGCCAATGACACGGTCGGAATAGCAGGCGGATTGAGTCGGACGGCTCGTGACTGGATGTGATCCCAGTCAGTCACAGGGCAGTGCAGGTCAGCACCAGGATGGTGCAAGGTATGCCAGTCAGCAACCCCGTCTAAACGGCACCCACGCCAAGGACGCTGGAGGGCGCGACATTGACCCCCAGCGACCTATTGACCGTGCAGAAGCCACACGCCGGGAGGTTAGTAGTTGGGTGGGTGACCACCAGCGAATCCCTCCTGTTGTATGTTTTTCTTTTCTTTTTCTTCTTTTTTTGCCAGGTTTCATATTCCCTGACTGGAAGTCGTCGTATCAGAAAGGTCTATCTATAGCAACGTACCATGCATGGATCCCCCTCTGCGCATATTAATCCTACAAAAAACATACGCGAGGGCCCTAGAGAGAGTCAGAGACAGGACAAGTCGTCACGCCGTCACTGCGACTGTGGCTTTTATTTTATATAATTGACAATCATAGTGCAGTATATATAATAGATCTGATTGAAACCTTTTCAGTGCCGTATGTATATTGAACATGGTGTACTGCAGTCCTGCAGGGTGTCTTATAATCTCCGTGCTATTGTCCATCTTCCACTCGAGGTATTCTATGCGAGGTGCGAAAACCCTCTTAATAGAGTACGAATAGTAGAGCCTTTGAGAGCATAGCACGCCCCGAATCCAAACCCACTAATAGCCCCGATTACGAGCAGCCGGAGATAGAATGGAACCGAAGTGTAAAACAAGTGTAGCATCAACCAGGCGACCGTATTTCTTGTGGCCATCTTCGTCATACAAATCTCCAGACCCTTTCGTCTCCATGACCAATTTAATTGATCGCCGGCCGTATCCGTAAACAGCTGCAGGTTTTGCCTCTCGAAGTCTGGTAGACTTTCCCACACCGTCTGGGTCTTTCCCTCCAGAAAGTTGTATGAGGTCCCGATTATCTTGTACAGTTTGAATATCGGATGGATTTGGGACGAATGCCAATCCAAAGACGTCCATACCGGCCTCAAAGACCAGGGCAGTCGGCGGGTCGATACAAAGCCTTCCCAGTGAACGCTGAGGTTCATGCGAGCTCTTTTGCCACTCACCGCGTGAACTGGGCCCACCGTTCCCTTGGCCAGGTGAACGAGGATCCTATCCACAACCACGTCGACAGGGACCTCATCTGTCGTTGCTTGCGTTCCCGGGTCAGGAAGTCGAGTGGACAAGATCGCGAATAGTGACGGAGTAAGGGCGAAGCTGGCACCAATGACCGTCGATGGGGTTGATAGTGGAACGCTATATCCGGGAAATGGGAAGCTCTGCGCAGGCCCTATCACCGAGGGTCGGATGATGAGAAGCTTCTCACGGGTCCCATGATCCTGGAACATTTCCATCAAAAGACGCTCCGTCAGGTGCTTCGCATATGCATATGGCCAGGGGAAGTTGTGTGCTTCAAATGCAGCACTTGATCCATGCGTTCGTACCGTCGCCCACTCGTCACCCGCATTCGTCCCGTCCAAGCAGGAGAGTGAGTAGACACGCTCCTCCACCACGGTGTCCAGAGTATTACCGGCTACGCGTGGCTCATGGGATAAATATGCGTTGGCATAGGCCGTGGATATAAACACAAATCTCTCTAGATGCTGGCACGCAAGAGCAAACCGGGCTACCGTTTCGCTGCCACCAATGATCGAGTTGGACACCTTGCTTAGGCGACTTGCGAGATTGATTGACAATGCTGCGTGAATCACAATATTGACCGTGCAATGCAAGTTCTGTAGTTGCCTTTGGGGCACAATCCCCATGTTTGGTAGGAGAATATCCCCATCCAGAACCGTGAGCCGGCCATCGGCCAGCATCTTGGTCGCGACCGCTGGGGTGAGCCAAGAATTCCACTCTCGTCGAAGGCGCCTTGTTGTTGCTGCATGGTTAGCGAACGATTCATGCGCAATACCTGATTGGAACAGTCTTCTTACGTGCACCCTCCACGACAGAGCACATACACATGCCTCGGGCTAGCTTGTGTAATAATCCTATAGATGATTGCAGAACCCAGAAACCCCGAGGCCCCGGTGATAAACAGGACCGAATCGTCAAAATACTCCCACATACGAGCGGTTGGAGTTGGGATTTTACAGTGCGCCATAACCCACTGTTCGGGGGCTTGCCAAATGGAACGTCGCGCAAAGAGATAAGATCGCAACGGGAGATTCCTGTTGCTCTAGAGTAGAGGGTGGTATGTTTCCCGTTCGAGTTATTATAGAATAGTGTCGTCGCCTCCAGCAGGGCCAAACTGGAAGCCCGGTCTAACACACGAGGCGGAGGATATTGCTCATCTTCCAGGTCACTTCCGCATCTGATCTATCGACATCGGCCCCATGCGGCGAGGGTATGCCACGAATGATCCCTTGCTGCTCTGTCCCTTACTTCGGTCATTTTCTAGGTCTTAAGTCTTCACTCGTTAAGTCGGAATCGAATCCGACAGAATATGGAAAGCGCTAAGGCGTATATGTACTGGAGCATTGTTTGTCCCCCTTTTGCCCCCTTGTTTCATTCTTGACCGTTCTCGGTTCTCTCACTTCTATCGGCCCTTGATCCTTTCTCACTCTCTTTTGCTTTGCTTTTGTTTAAAGTTCACGAGGTCTGTTACTACATAATAGTCTGGAATTCAGCCCCAACAGCCAAATCCATTGTGACAGAATACATTGGTGGTCTTTTATATTGTGCTCGTTTTACACGGATTCGACGCGACAGGGAAACCATACGAAGCGATGAAACATCCTCACATCGCAACGGCGAAACCCGTGATTTGCCCCGAAAAGCAATCAACATCCAGTAGTGAGGAGAGTCCAAATAGCTGGGGATTTAGTGATACCAAATATCGCCTGACTCCCGAGGGCGACGTTGAAATCACCGGTGCTCGTTACAGCTGCAGCGGACAGCACCTCCCATCGTTGCTGCCATGGGCCAGGTCGATCATTGGCGTGGAGATCCCCACAGATGTAAAGCCCATTGGCTATCCCCCGCCTATCCCCACTGCCATTGGCAATGCTGGGTTCAGCGATGCCTTGGGAGGCTGCCTGCGAGACGATCAGATCAGCACCGATGGAGAGGTGAGGCTACGCCATGGGCATGGGCATGCATTACCGGAGATGTACAGTGTGAATGGGAACGGGATTGAGCGCATCCCCGACCTGGTTGTCTTCCCAGAGGACACGGGTCAAGTGAAGTGCATTGTTGATGCCGCGAGCTGCCACGGTGTGTGCTTGATTCCATATGGCGGCGGTACAAACGTGAGCCTCGCTCTCCAATGTCCCGCAGACGAGAAACGGTGCATCGTATCCGTTGATATGAGCCGTATGAATCGCATTCGTTGGGTCGACATAGTCAACCATCTGGCGGTCATCGAAGCTGGGGCCGTGGGACGGGACATTGCTGCCACCTTGGGCCAGTACGATTTTATATTTGGCCATGAGCCGGACAGTGTGGAGTTTTCAACGTTGGGGGGCTGGATCGCAACCAAGGCCAGCGGAATGAAGAGGAACCGCTATGGAAATATTGAGGACTTGGTGCTGGAAATAGAAATGGTCCTGCCATCAGGGGTAGTCAATTTGAGCTCTTCCTCCACACCCGCTGCTCCCCGCCAGTCGGTCAGCTTCAATCCATGTGCGATGATGTTTGGATCCGAAGGAAATCTCGGGATCATCACTGCAGCGTTGGTCAAGGTGGCTCGAAAGCCTCCGTTGCAACGCCACCAGTCTATCGTGTTCCCCGATTTCAACACTGGGCTGCAATTTATGTATGAGGTGACACGGGCAGGGGTACTACCGGCCAGCATTCGTTTGGTGGATAATCTGCAGTTTCAACTCAGCCAGGCATTAAAGCCAGCGGGCGGCGGCCTCTTCGAGAAACTCAGAAGTGAGATCCAACGGCTTTACGTGACTCAAGTCAAAGGGTTTGATACTCAAAACATGGTCGTATGCACTCTCGTCTGCGAAGGATCCCAGCAGGAGGTGCAGGCCCAGGAGCAGACCATAGGCACCATCGCCAATTTCCTGGGTGGCCTCGCAGCTGGAGCCGAAAACGCGCAAAGAGGGTATGAAATGACTTTTACCATCGCCTATATTCGAGACTTCTTCATGGGCCTCAGCATATTTGCCGAGTCGTTCGAAACGTCGTGTCCCTGGAGCAATGCTGCTCATCTCTGTGAGAAGACCAAGGCACGCGTTGTGCACGAACATAGAGCCCGTCGGCTTCAAGGAAATCCCTTCATAATATGCCGTGTCAGCCAGGCCTATGAGACAGGAGTCACGCTGTATTTCTACCTAGCTTTGTATTTGGAGGGAGTGGCGAACCCAGCCGGCGTCTATGCCGAGATCGAGGAAGCAGCTCGCGACGAAATCCTACAATGTGGGGGTTCGCTGTCGCATCATCACGGAGTAGGAAAGGCCAGGAAAATATTTTACCCCAGGGTCATGTCTAGCACAATGTCACAGTGGAACTGGCAAGTGAAAGAGAGTATAGACCCTGCGAATATTCTCGGATGCGGAAACATGCCCCCGAAACAATAGCAGCTATGTAGAAGTCTAGGTCCCAGCTATGCATATCTTGTCTTCTCCTTCCAAACACACTGTCTTGCAAACTCTTCCAGCTCTTGCCTGTCGCAGATGACAGTGTAACGCTTCCGGTCCTCATCCACCCCCATGATATAGCCCTTCTTCTCAAGGCAGCGCAATGCACAGTGGGACACTGTGATGTCCTCCGTGCCGGCGAAGAGCATGGGCGCTGAAAAAGAATTGTCCGGCAAAGTGCAACTTTCAGCGACCTTTGTGATTACTCTGATATACTCCGAGCATATGGGCTGGAACAGGAGAGTCAACAAGCCCGTCACCTCTTCGTCTTCTGAGCTGTCTTTCCGAACCCCCTCGCTATAATGGTTTTCGTCGCAGATAAAATGTCTCAGAGCCATACTATCTGGCTGTAACTGTAATGCTTCAGCGAAGAACAAGTGATTCCAATTGTAAATGAAGGTCTTCCGGATGACAGGCTCGACAGGTTGTAAATCAGGATCCAGCGGACTGTCTAGCACGATTCCTCCACGATGCTCAATCGCCTCCCGCAGCCACGCGAGAGTAATCCTCGACGATTCCGTGACAAAGCATTTGAGATGAAAGGTAGTGACCGATGTGTTCGTGCGCAACTCCCTAATGATTTCCAGACTTAATTCGGGGATGTCGGTTTCCTTGTCTATGATCATCGGAGCTCCACAGCGAACATGTGCGCGGCCTAGTTGGACCCTTCCTATAGCCGCATTCATCACCCAGTGGAGTAAGGTGGAAAGGTTCATGTGTGCCTTACCGTGGCCCTGGATCTCTGCCGCCATTGAAGCTTCCTCGGCTACGCGGTCATAACTTAGGGAAACCGGAACGATGGCGATTGGCTTTCCACTTGATTGCAAGCAGCGTAAGAGGCCCCGACGCGGAGCAAGGAACTGTCTAGAGCGACTTCTCGTTCCCTCGATGAAGAAGAGGATCTCATGTCCCTGGTTGATCAATTCATGTACTTGCTGGGTAAGCCTCCCGTCTGCCGTTCCTTGCCCACGCTGGACAAAAAACGCGCCGAGCTGAGGGAGTATCCAGTTGAGCCAAGGGACCTTGGAGAAATGCTCGGATGCTGCTATCTTTGGAGCTCGCCGACCGAGACAGGGCTTGGATAGGAACAGATGAGGCAGAAGCAGAAAATCTAGATAGCTGCGATGAGTCGGGACAATCACCACGGCCCTGCCGCTGTCAATCTGAGCGTTGGCAAGGGTGAAGGAATCCAAGTCAACTGTGACCGTGTTAAAGATCCTTCGCAATAGCTTTTGTAATAGATAGCCTAACGGGCACACCGCGAGGTTTGCCGATGCTGTGATATATCGATATAGCTCGCTTCCCACAGGTCGATGTGCGGCACCGCTGATGCAGACTTGGGTTGGGTCTGGTTGTTGGGAGCACACCTGTACCCCTGTGCGCATCCTGTACACATACACATCCCAGTTGAAGTCAACTGGTAAAGTAGCCAGTGGCCAGAAATCAAAGAAGCTCTGAGAATAATAGGACCATGGGCTGTTGAGCTGGCAAGTCAGCCTAGAAAGACGTCTCACACTTGCAGATCGTTTTCATTCCTGGGGAAGTTGTAGTAAGCCCGCAGAAGATTCCAGAGGAGCACAGGCTGCCGTATCTTGTCATTGACAGAGCTATCTTATAAGTAGATGAACGGTTGTCAATAATTAGCTTCTAACTCAGTCGACGGATAGGCTGTATGTAAGGGGGTGTGTGGATGGAGGTAATCGAACGAGACCCAGCATTTCGAGGGCTCCACCACACCACCCTTGCTTATGACATGCCATGTATCTGTACCTGATTGGTTCAGAGTAATCAATTGTGTGATCTGCGAATCGCATCAGGCGGGAGGCTGGCAGGTATGAATATCGTATTTTGGTTACGAAAAGGATGAATTCCCAAGACAAAGGGGGTTATATATGGAATTCCCACCTCAATGCTGTAGCACACCAGGAATAATGCCTTATAATGAGGGGTACGTCTCTGCTATGATGGCCAGAACTTGACCTGCCGTGTTTGGACAGGAAGGCAATATGCTGCACGGCGAAAGTGACCCCGTGGGATATAGCAGGCCCTTCAGCCTCGGAATTTCCGAATGGCTTGTTTTCGGCACCCTTGCCATCATCACTCTGGTGGTTGCTTGGGATGGAACTTCCTTATCCGTCGCTCTCCCAGTATGTCTACCTACTCGATGCACCTAGTCCTCCCATTATGGATGACTGAGACCATTCTAGTCCATCGCAGAGCAGCTTCATGCAACCGCCACGGAGGCCTTCTGGAGTGGAACATCCTTCCTGCTCTGCTCCACTGGTGAGACAGTCTGATGGTCCCATTATGGCCATTCTTCACCCCCAGCTCACCGTTGTAATCAGTATTCCAACCCAGCTTTGCGTCCCTATCGAATATCTATGGCCGGAAGCCATTGATATTTATTTCGCTCTCCTTCTTTGTTGTTGGCACGGGCGTTGCTGGTGCCGCAAAGAATGTCACTTACATGTTAGTGGGTCGCTCCCTACAAGGTGTTGGCGGCGGTGGTCTCGTTGCGTTGACGGAAATCGTCGTGGCAGATCTGGTGCCGTTGCGTCTTCGTGGCCAATACATGGGTATCATCAACGCCGTATGGAGCGTCGGGTCGGTGACCGGTCCAGTACTCGGGGGAGGGTTCGTGCAAAAGGTTTCTTGGGTAAATGAAGCTCCGTCGCTCTGGTACCAGGGCTTCCGACACGGCAGGACGCTAATAATACTAGAGATGGATTTTCTACATCAACTTTCCATTTGCTGGCATTGCACTAATCATGCTTTTATGCCTCCGCTTGCGCCAAACTACTGTTGCTGTGGCCAGCCTCAAGCGCATTGACTATAGTGGTACGTTTCTCTTTGTTGGCGGTACGGCTTCATTCCTGATAGGACTCTCCTGGGGCGGCACCATGTACGCTTGGAGGTCATGGAGGACTGTTGTCCCCATGGTAGTGGGCGTGGTGGCCCTGGCACTCTTTGTGCTTTATGAAAGGTTCTACGCCGTTGAACCTATGATCCCTCCCCGACTGTTCCATAATCGGACCGCGCTGGTGAATCACGCGGGCAGTGTTGTCTATGGCCTGACGTTATGGTGCTTCCTATATTACTTTCCTCTGTCTTCGAAGGTGTAAAGGGCTATAGCCCCGTTCTGTCCGGCGTGGCGCTATTCCCAACGACCTTTACAGTTGCCCCAAGTGCAGTGGTTGTGGGGATCTACATCACTAAATTTGGTCGATATCGATGGGCAATCCTTCTCGGGTGGGCATTTTCAACCCTCGGCGCTGGACTCTGTTGTATGATCAATGCGGACTCTGGTATCCCTCGCTGGGTGTTCCCGACGGTGATTCTAGGCGTGGGGATGGGAATTTGCCTCCCATCTATCCTGTACGCCATCCAAGCTTCCTCGCACCCTAAGGATGTTGCCATCGCGGTCGCCATGTATACATTCTTCCGCACATTTGGGCAGGCGTTGGGCGTTGCCATTGGCGGCGTGATCTTTCAGAACCGCATGCGAAAGAACCTGCTAGAGTATCCAGCCCTCGCGCCCTTCGCAGATCAATACAGTGCAGATGCCGCGGCGCTCGTGCCGCTCATCCAGTCCATGCCCAACGATGTGAACAAGGTCTATCTGAAGCAAGCCTACGCGGACAGCTTGAAAATTGTGTGGGCAACTTGCTGTGCACTGATGGCTGCTGCTGGACTTTTAAGCGGATTGACCCGACAGTATGATTTGAACCAAACCCAGGAGGAAATTGAATTCCAGCATTAACGCCCGTTGTGTTTCTCCCATGCATGACCAGATGTAGTAATATGATAAGTATCTATTTCATATACTGATCTGCTTCGACTGCAGGAGGTAGAAAGCCTGTGTACTGGATACGGATTCGTAGGCGAGATACCCAAAATTCCCAGTGTGGCAGCAATTCCTGGGCTTCGTTTGGAGGTCAAAAATGATCCTCTGCATGGCCAATATCCTAGCTCCTGGGACATCATCTACACATGGCAGGCAAGTACTGAAGAGGCATGTACACATACGCACACAAGCAGATCAGTCCTTATGACCCAACACATTCCGGCCGACGCGATCGTACTGTTTCCCCTTTCAAAACACATTAGCACTCCGTAGTTCCCTTTCGCCCCTTGCTGCAACATGAGTGGGTCGTCGCAAGGACGTCGGTATTTAAGTCACTCACTGCAACCCCTTCGACTCCACTGCTCTGTCTCCCAATCAGTTTTGAGAAGATGACATCGGAAACGAAGTTCCTGCCATCCGTCCTTATCACCGGATGCAGCGCGGGTGGAATTGGCTCCGCCCTCGCTGAAGCATTCCATGAGCGTGGGCTGTACGTCTTCGCGACAGCACGTTCATTAGACAAGATGGCACATCTAGAAAAACTCCCGAATGTCACTCTGCTTGAACTGGATGTGACTTGTGACGAGAGTATTAAAGCGACCGTGGCGACTGTCGCTGTTCAGGCAGGGGGTAAACTGAACTACCTTGTTAACAACTCCGGTCAGTGTATAGTCATGCCTGCTCTTGAGACTAGCATCGACAAAGCTAAGGAGCTCTTCGACGTCAATCTCTGGGGCGTGATAGCCGTCACGCATGCATTTGCACCGCTGTTGATTGCAGCGAAGGGCACTATCGTTAACATCGCTTCCATTGCTGCATTCGCCCACTCCCCCTGGCTGAGTGTGTCCCTACTTCATTCCCCCCATATCCCCGTCCAGGCTTGCCCTCCATTGCTAACTAGGTTAAAGGCATCTACAGCGCCTCCAAATCCGCGTTGGATACTTACTCCCACACTCTCCGTCTCGAATTGGCCCCCTTCGGGGTCGAGGTCGTCACGGTAACTGCTGGGACGGTGAAGACTAATATTTACCGGGGTTTCCAGGATAGCCCTCTTCCGGAGCACTCGATGTACAAGGCTGCTGCGACGGAGATCACAGAGTTGGCAAATGGCGGCCTCGTTGCGGCCGCTATGTTACCCTCCACGTTTGCCAGGAAGGTTGTCGGCGATCTGCTCCGCGGTGCTTCTGGCACCATCTGGAGGGGAACATTTGCAACAAGCGTGTGGATTCTTTCCTTCATGCCTGCCTGGCTCGTGGTATGTCTCTCTCCGACTTAGAACGCGGACGGTTGTCTTAACCTCGTATAGAACTTGCTGGCGTTTCCCAACTCCGGCCTGAGTCAGTTGCGTACACCTGAAGTATAAAACCATGGTGGCAATTGTAATTTTCGTTACGTTTATTTATTCATTTTCTTCTTTATTCTTGCAATTCCGCCGCAAGTGTAGCCAATTTATAACTGTAATAGTTAAGGCTTTCCTGATATATATTCTCTGACGGTGTAGGGTGTCCCACGCTACGTGGAATTCTGCGCGGGAGTAGTATAGATAACAGCAGGAGTAAAACCCCGCATAACTAAATTTATCGTACACTATGAAACTCTACCAGCAAGCAAGCGAAGCCTCTAATACCAGCCCAGAATACGCCTGCAGTTTACCGTTGGAGTTTAGGCCCACCTTCGGCGCACGCACCGACCATCTATTTCCTCATTGGGAAAGTTCACGCGAAAAGTAGTCATAAATGTATGGACAAGGTGGAGAGCAAACGAGAGAGAGAGAGAGAGAGAGAGAGAGGAGGGAGGGAGGAAGAAGAGAGTAGTTGGTGAATTATATTTCCTCCGCTGGTTTCACTCAGCAAGACTACTTCTTCTTCGTCTCCCATAGAATCCCTGGTGCACTCCCAAGACAGCTCCCACGGAACGTCGCAAAACATATCCATCATGCCATACACCGGCGATATACCTATAAGGCTGGTCCTGAAAGGCACCCCAAGAGAGGTACGGTCTTGTGAGTCATACGGGAGTGTTCATCTTGATTCATCCCCTACATGATTGCTGCTCTCACCCGTTACCTAACCAATCCGCACAGATTGGCCTCGCACATGGTCGCCAGCTCCAACACCAAATCAAAGACCAACTGGAGATCTACCGGGAAATGTTTGAATACACTTCCAAAATGAACTGGCCCCAGGTGCGCGCACTGGCAGAAGAGTTCCGCGTGACGGCAGAGCAAAACACGCCCGAGGTCCACGCGGAGATGCAGGGCATTGCGGAAGGCGCGGGGGTAGATTTGCTTGATATCATGGCGTTAAACTGCCGCAGTGAGATCTCTTTAGGAAGATTCTCGGACGGATGCACGGCGCTGTCGTGGAAGACGAGTGAGCAGGCCAGGGTCTTGGCGCAGAACTGGGACTGGACCACGAGCGTAGGGAAAAACATGGCGATGCTGCGGATTGAACAGACCGATAAACCGGTCATCCACATGGTAACTGAGGTGAGTTGCGTGGGCCCAATCCCATTCATGACGGGCCGTCCTCGAGGTGAAGCCTGTTCACTTGCCACGGATCAGGGTTGATGGGATGGCTTTTAGGCAGGCATTGTTGGCAAGATCGGATTCAACAGCGCCGGGGTTGGCGTCGGTCTAAATGCCATCAAAGCACCCGTGTGTGACAGCTCGAAAGTTCCCATCCACGTTGCTCTCCGGCTGTGTCTGGAGAGTGACTCCGTCGACACAGCCCTAGAACGACTTACGTCCCTCGGGGGTGCGGCTTCGAGCCAACACATTCTGCTCGCCGACAGCTCGAAATCACTTGGACTCGAACTGTCCCCCCTGGGCGATGTTCATCTCGAGGAGGATCGGAATGGTATGATTATACACACAAATCACTTCATCGCAAACGATCGTGTGCAGGAACCGCCATGGCTCCCAGGCTCCGCGGTGCGACTATCGCGGTGCCAACACCTTTGTGACGAACTCATCAAGGCAGGAGTTGCTGGAGACAAGATTACACCGAGGCTTCTGAGAGAAAGGGTATTCTCAGACAGGTACAATACTCCAGAGGCCATCTGCTGTTCTGAGGACCTATCGTTGCATCCAACACAACAATGTTCAACGTTATTCAACATCGTGATGCATCTGGGACCGGGCCATCTGGGGGCCGAGGTCGTTTTCGGGCGTCCTGGGTATGAGGAGGAGAGTATCGTGGTCAAACTACCATGTAGTCTCGAGGACCAAGATCGCTGACGGCCTTCTCCCCCGTTCTGCTACTTGTCTCAGAAGCGAGGAACTAGAGTGGCCGTCATTGTGGACCTTGAATACACTAGCCCAGATACTAGAATTATATATATTTCATGGCTAAGAGAATACCAAGCTCCTGTTCCACCTGAAGTCAAACCAGGCCAGCGTGCCTTGTACCCTTTTGCCGTGGGAGATATGTAGTAGGATGTAACCCCTTCGTTACACAACAGGCTTGGAGATCTGCAGTGATATCGTTCTTTCGTTTATTTACTCTGCATAATCCGAGCTTCAATACCTCGCCACCTGAAACAAAAACGCGCGATGGGGAGTGAGCATTCTTGACTGGGAATTCTTCTGACTCGAAACTTGCACTTTTGAGAGACATCGTTTTCCAGGGCATTCAGAAGCCACGACGAGGTTCAGCTTAGGTATTTTCGCCAATTCCAAACCTATAGTGTCAAATATTGCCAGACCTGAAAACGTCCATCTCGCGCCGGGTTCGGCTTCGAACCACATCATGGACCCCAACCAGCGTGAGCGTTGGAGAAAAAAAAAAAGGTACCACAACTATCCAACAGCGCTAACGTTTCACCAGACTCCGAATCCCTCGTCTGCCTATTAGTCTACATGTTGCAACTGCAACGGTGGAGGTGAATTCCACGGACAGGGATGGGAAATGCCTATCGAATGGGTCTTGATGTGTGACGACTGCCTGGTCACAGTGCTGATATGCAGCACACTGAGGATACTATGTTTGATTTGACTTCGGGGTGTGAAGACAGGCAAACAGCTCCACGTGCGAGCCATGAAACAGATCCGGGGCTACATAACTAGCCGCGGAAACGCGTAGCTCGGCGCAGCAAAGCTCGAACGATCCGTCTTGAGGAAGAAGACATGGCCATGTCCGAAGTGGATACGCAAAGCCAGCGAGCAGGGCTCTGGTGAATCATGAGCTGACTCGCTGGGAGATATCACGTGCCCCAGGCAGAGGCGAGGCTCCTAGGCAGCAACAGGCAGCCCCTCATGATACCAAGAGTCACATCCATCTCTCGGTCGAATATAACAAATGTTACGCGGTCAATTCCTCCGCCTTCAACAAGGGCGTTTGGAGTGACCCAATAACCCCACGAACACATTCATCAGACGCAACCATGAGCGAAGCTCGGTGCCCTCCCCGGTTCTCATTCGAGCACGATCAACGCCAAAGTCCACTGTTCTCCCGTCTGCCATCCGAGGTGCGCGAGGAGATCTTTGCGTTTGTTCTCTCCAGCTATGATGACACGACTCGAGCATATCCCAAGGAAACCTATTGGACTCGACCGGGCCATCGTGGACCGCAGCGGGTCTCCACAGACCTCCTGAGAACCTGCAAACGAATCTACACGGAAGCGTGGTTTATGCCGTTCATCTACGCCGAGCATACGGAATACCTCACCGCGCGAGACAGAAAGCCACGGTCGGCGATGTGGAGTCGCCGTCTACAGATGATGGACGCCGACTACGAACAACTCCAACCACATTTGGTTCGCATTTTCGCGCAATTGTGGGTGCTCGAGCCAGGCGACCGGCTCCAACAGACACTGTACATGCTACCATTCTTTCCCAGGAAGATCACCCTCACCATCCGATATACCGACTTCTGGTTTTGGGAGGATGATGAACCGCTCCGGATTGACGCAACCTGGGTGAATAAGGTTCGTTTCCCACACAGTGTCTCGCGGTTTTGTATCGAGTTTGAATCGATCGAGCGACGAAAAAATGAGGTCGACTATATCGCCCGCGAAGCCGCAGAGAAGTGGTACTTCCGTCGGGAAGATGGGCTCTTACTTATTCCATATGCAGGCGATGGGTCGGTGTTGAAATGGACGGGTAGCTCGTGTTTGGGGAATCAGCGCTGGATCCGCGATGAGGTTCGACCGGGCGAATTGGATTATCATGTTAGGACAGCGACATGGAGGCTGTCGACAGAGCATGAAGCGCGGCCCCTGTGTCCGAATCTCCAGGTCCCCGATTCCATGGAAAGGGGATTGGCCCCGTACCTTGCTGGTCCTGCATTTCTGTCTGCTGACGACCTTCGCGCGGCTAAGATACCTAGCAGTGTGCCCGCTGCTGAAGCATGTGAAACGCTGGAGAAATATCGTGAGGCTCATCGTTCAGACTACGATACCTATGATGATAGTGACGATTAGTGTTGATGAGACTTCCCGAATGCGCTCCGGGTATCGGGGATTCGAACATGGATGGCTTTGAGGTAATTTACTCTCAACTTAGGACATGCTAGAGCCTGCAGACAAAGGGTGTAACTGAACATAGCAATGAGCGGCCAATGAAAACCCGAGTGAGTGTCAGCATTGAAGGTATATGGCTGGACAAAAGGACGCAAGGGGAGGATGCCATGAAGCTAAAAGCCGATATCCATGATACCATCATGTCATAGATAGGTGGGGGAGGGCCTCACGTCGTATTGTCTTAGTCTACCATTGATTCTGCTGCTTAACTCACTTCCTAATGTCATATCTAGTGACAGTATGCTTCGACAGGGGTCAATCGAGCCGCTGCCTAGTAAATACTCCTTGCGCATCCCACTCTCTTTTCAATCCACGTACCTTTTCCAAGTGAGCCTGCCCGCGATAGCGTCTCTCGATGGGCCCGACGCGAGTGCCATTCTGAAAGTCCACGGAGTGTGACTGATCGTCGCCGCGCATGATAGAGATGCACTCATTGTTGTACGCCTCCACCTTACGGTGGTTCCATTCCTCTGTATGCCAGATCAAGTTGTTCCTTATATTTTGCGGTAGTTAGCATCAAAATACCTGGTTTCCCGGAAACCCAGCAAAAGAAAGAGAATGAAATACGCACTGCCAATACGGGATATCATACAAGGACATAGCCAACTCCACCTCGGGCGTCTTAACTGCTCGCGCATCCCTTTGAACGTTAAACCCAGTATTGATGGCGTCGGGGCAGTCATGCACCATTTGCTTCCAGGTGTCAATGGTGCGTACAAAGCCTTCGGCGTCGAACCCATGTAATCCGACCACACCGAACTGCTTCAAATCACCCTTTCCGCACAGCGCTTCTCGTGCGTCACTGGCGTGCTGGATGGGAGCCTCGTCTCCGGTGGCAACCAGGGGATGCAGATCGTAGAGTACTTGGAAGGGGACCTGTTCTTCCTCGTCGCCGGTGTACCGCGCGGCGATGGCCAGGGATGGAGTTCAAGCCTGCAGTCGCACGCTGGCTATCTGCCATTAATCTCTTCATCACTGGAGCTATCTCTGTAGCCCGCTCGAGCAGAAAGATAAACGCTCCGGTCCAGATCAGCCCCTGCTGCTTAAGGAGTTGAGAGATTCGGTGTGCCCGGATGGTGAGTTGGGTCACCAGCCCGAAGAATTGCCATGCGCCTTGCAGAGCCCAGAGGAGATCAGAATGCTCTTTCTCCGTCACCTCGGCCAGCTTCCCACCGTCCTGAGCCGTGATGACCCGCGCGGACACGATTTGATCGGACCCAACCCCTGTGATAGAGGATATGATGGAGGCCCCACGGCCGAGAAAGTAGGGATTCACACCGACCATATTGTCATTTCCGAATGCTGAGCGGAATGATGAGCAGGAGGCGAGACTGGTGGCCTGCTGGACATGGAGGCTTGCATGTACCTGTGAAGAGCCCTGCTTCGGCCAGACGCATGCCCACTTGTTTGGATAGATCCCCACCGACCAAAGTAGCGGCCTTTCTCTCTGCATCCACACGCACATCAACGTAGCCACTAAGGTCGATAATTATTCCCTCCACGCCAGTCGTTGACCAGGTGCTATGGTCGCCACAGGTGGTCACAAGGGGAATGGATGACTGTAGTGCCCATTTGACCTGTGATCGGCGTCAGCCCCTACAGGCCTCCAGAGGCTTGCAGTGGGGGTTTCACTGTTTTGAGACAATCGTGTTCGGACCGAGGGAGAATACTAGCGGTGGGAGTCTTTCGGTCGATGTCGGTCCAACAGCTGAGACGTTCGTGGAATTGAGGGTCCTGAGGATCGTGCAGGATCTCACAATCAGGCGTGATGGTCCTTAGGCGATCCCAGCGGCCTCTGCGGTAATTGGATCTATCTAAAAATGTATGAGTCTCATTGTAACCCCCGATCAAGGTGCTGACTTCTTCCCTTGGCAGGACGCCAGAGGGTTTATTAAGACACTAGATGAAGATCATGGGGATTAGAAGAAGTCCGATCCTCATGTTCGCGAGCTTCAGAGTCAGGTAGTCAATGCTTTGAGAGACAGCAGATAAAAAGGCACTCCATAATACTATAAATGCCTCCAACCTCTGGCAATATCCAATGCAGAGGATATGGCGCAGTCTAGATATCATATTCCAATAAGATTCCTACTTCGCTCCGATAGTACTAATGGGAAATAGAAACAGGTTATTCAAGTTCAGTCCGAAGAGAATGTTATTTCTCAAACGGGAACTGAAGCTGAAACCAGACGCCTCCACAGCGCGTGGCCTGGCCCAGTTAAACAAGAACAGCCCTAGAAACCCATAACCGAGTCCAGACAAATAAGGCACCCGAAAGGGTCAGGGAGATACCAGTAAACAATTGCATTCCAAGGTAATTGGTTCCCCCGCCATTCTCGAGAAGCTGCCCGGCGATCGGCCCCGTTGCAAGTACCGCGAATGAAGAAATAGTGATGCAAATTCCTGCGCAATACATGGTACGTCCATCAGTACGGTAGCCCTCGCATGACAGAAGGAGTCCTCACCGTTCCAGAAGCCAATAACATCTGTCGTCGGCGCCAGCATGGAGACACAGGGCGAGAAAATCGCCTGTAGTGCGCCTGAGATCATTCCATATGCTACTGCCCACACGACGACACCTGGAATGCCGTGTGAGCCGATCCAAGCGAAGGAAATCACGGCGCAAACAAAGGTGGCCACTATAACCGAATTGAAAAATCCCAGGCCAGAGTCAGCTATCATGCCTAGTGCATAGCAGCCGAAGAAGGCGCCAGCATTCAGGATTGCTGCATCGTAGAATCCTAGGCTTGCCGAGGCACCGCGCTGGATGGCATAAGGAGTGATGTAAAACTAGAAGGTACTGTCAGTGCATCTATCAATTTAACCCCAGCTGGTGCCACCAACCCACGGTACATAAATGCCAAGATTCATGAGGAAAATAGCAAACGTGAGCAACATGGTTGAGCGGTCGGTAAAGTATTGTTTTAAAGGCATGGGCCTCTGTTCCATCGCACAAGGGAATCGACGCTGAACGAGTAATATAGCAGCAACCATGATTCCAAGCTGCATGAAACCGATAATACGCAGAGTCCAACCATATGACATGCCCTCAAAATTGAGAAGTCGGTTGGCGAGAACGGGCCAAATGATACCTGGGGTTAAAACATGGAATCAGTCATTGGGCCCTGATAGTTCGCCATTCAACATGAACACATACCTCCAGCCATCTGGCCAGACATGACAAAGCCAACGGCAAATCCACGGCGTTTCAAGAACCATTGGGACTGGATAGCCAGAGCTGGTGTGAAGATAAATCCCATGCCAAGTGCTACACAAAACCCCTGGGACAGCAGAAATTGATAGAACTTTGTCGAGACCGAGGACATCATATTGCCCAGCACCATGAAGAATGTTCCCACGGCCAGAGGTAGCGCAGGCCCGTGCTTATCAGACAAAGCTCCCGACCAGATACCAAAGAAGTAGCATCCCCAAACCTGAACGCTGCCGATCCACGCAATATCGGATGTGCTGGAGCCTGGAAGGACGGTTGTCTTGAAGTAGCTTTGGAAAACAGATCCCCCGCTGAGGAACCCAATGCTGGCAACAAACGACAAGAATCCTCCTAGCGCCGTGCGCCAGGCTTGGAAACCACCGTCCGGGAAGGATTCACCACGATCAGTCGGCGCACCCTCTAAGCTACCCCCAGTTTCCTCATCCTTCTGGGCAAATTCAATGTGACTGTGGTTCGCTCGTCCTTTCTGTGCCTTCGTGTCTGTCTCACTGTCTGCGGACATATCGATATCTCCGCGAAACAACGCCTTGGACTGGGGGAAAATCGATAGCATGTTTCTTGTAAAAGAAATTTGATGGTGACTGTTAGCATGGCTCTCTTGGTACACTGGATACTCGGTAGCGGCCTTTATATATGGGGAGGACGTCGGGGAAATGTACAAGCGGTAGAATTATTACTATCATCAACACGAACGCCATCAGAGTATCAAATGGTTGTAAGGTTTAAGCAGGTCCTAACACGATTGGCCATGCCTGCAGCCTTTCGTCATCGACCATCCTCAGAAGCCATAAGATGTCCTGCTGAACTCACTTCTCCTCTTCCCCGCAGTTGTATGAGCTTAGTTGAGACGCCATGTCGACAAGCGAACAAGATATCCCTCCCTCATCGTGGTTATCGCCCCGCAACGATTGCCCAGCTCAGCTCGAGCCTATGCGGATCCAGAGCTTCGCTCTCTTAGTTCGGAAGCTTATACAGCGAGATGCGGCGGCTACAGATAAGGGTCGGTTACAGATAAGAGTGCACTGGGCCGGCCTATAGTAAGCTCCAGCCAGGTTAGACAAGGTTATCCATTTGGAAGGCTAATGAGGCACTTACAATACTGAGATTGCAAGTGTGTAAACAATACACCGCGCAGGCAGTTAGACGCTATGGATCAGTGGTCCTGGATATGTGGAAGATCGGGTTGATGAACCAAACCTTTGATGGAGGTGCATCGGACCATTGCTATAACTGCAGCACGAAAATTCTCTTGGAGTTCGAAAGCGAATGGGCCAGAGAGGGTGCCCCGTGGACCTCCTTCTGCCTTTGGAATGAAATGGATACGAAGTACTCTACGCTAGTATCTGTCTATCGTTCTTAATTTATCCTAGACAAAAGGAGTGCGATGATACGGCGTAATCTATCCAGGTCGAGGTTCAAGGTTTCACCATACTTTTGCGGGGTTAAGACGGTTCCACTATTCCGGTAGACCCCACAATTTGAATGTTTAATAGTGCAGGAATTTGTGGAAATGAAGTGAAATGCAAAGCAGATTGGCTTCTTCCCTTGGTCCGCCGACGAGTGAGCCAAGCCGTTGGACCTCAGTCGCCTCTGGTGGACCAGACCCGGTGAAGACAAACCCCAAGAGTTTAGATGAAAATAAAAATGTATGGATCTTTCTCATATAGAGCGGCCTGGGCTTTCCCTGTACTCCGAAGCCCGAAGAGGTATGTCATTTAACCTAACATCCCCAGCTAGGGAGCTATGATCGTGAATCGTAGTTTTCCATAGACGAGACTGTCGATGATTCCCTTCTCTGCGAAATTAAGTTCTTCTGGGGTACGTGCGCTCGGGGTCCGTGGGATGCTGAAGAACCGTCCTCACAACCAACGACCTCTTCGCATTGCGGATTGCCTGTAAGATCGCGGATGGGAGGGTGACAGCAGACATAGCGGTAACGTCATTGGTGCCCTATGCGCACCAGCGATCGATGGATCGAGTAAATTTCCTTTCTCGGCTTGTTTGGCTTCTTGCCAGACTCCGTAAAATTCAATATCATAGGCATGACTGGGTTTTTGGCGATCGATAATTGCTGCGTCATGTGGGGTGATGTTCGGATAGTCGGTACAATCTGCCTTCAAGGGTATATGCATGCTCAACGTATCAGGCTTGCGCTGAACACTTTAGTGCCTGACTGATTCATGCTGGGTGCATTTGATCATGGCTTATGTTGCCAATTAGACCAGCGGAAGCGGAAGCAAACCGAGTAGTTGAGAATGATTGTAGCTGGCCCTGTCTCTGTTCATTGTGAATTTATATAACGCCGTAATCCAGCCCGTGTCTTCTCATCAACAGGCCAAGGCCGTACGGCCCAAACGCATATTCGTCCGGGTCGTCCCAGAGCAATTGGAGCAGAACGCTCGCTTGGGCTGTGTTTTTCATCAAGTAATGATTATGGATCAAAAGATGTGTGATCACATTACGCTGCTCTTCTTTCATCAAGCAAGATCCAATTACCATCATCGGCCACATCAGGAGGCAGGAATAATTTGATGCGATCATCCCGGGAAGATCGTGGACGGCTCCATCCAGCAAGGATTGAACGTGATGAACTCGCACTGAGTCATGTTTGGAGAATGGTACGACGGCGGTTTCCAAAAAGACCAATAAAGCTATTCGGAACATGCGCAAGGCTGTGCTGTGCCCGGGAAGCACCTCAGTGTCGGGGTGTTCTAGCGCGGAAAGATCCGGATGGCCGATACGCATCTTCAGTTGGTTATATGTCTCATAGCGGCCAGGTGGTATACTGGTACCTGTCGATGGCAGTGCATCTTGTTCTCCTGCAAAGAGGGAGACGCAGGATATGAGTTCGAACAGACTGTGGAACCCACTGAACATAACACCAAAGGCACCCAAACCACGCAAGTCATCCAGTGACTGCAGAAACGAGTCATAAATCAGAGTCCTATTGCCATTCATGTTGAATGGCGTGATGCTATTGGATAGGACAATGTAGGAATACACTTCAGTGGCAAATCCTAGCAGCTTTCTCTCGGCACTGGACATGAGCTGGTGGCTATTGTTTCGCAGGCGTAGGATCAAATGACGACCGGCGCGCAGGTGGGTAAAAGGGGATCCGTCCAGGTGTCCAGAGACCACCTTGATGAGTCCGACCAAGTCAGATAGACGAAAGGTTGATTCGAAATTGTGTCCCTGGTTGGATGGCTTACCTCATAATGAAAGAGAATTAAAATCGCCAAAGCTACACGAACCAGTACAAGAGGTTCGAGCAGCGTCGAGCCATCATTCAACACATGAGAAAGACTCTGCACCGCTAAGGAGTAATGCCGGGAGGTTGCCTGTTGGATTGCATGGTTGTCTGGCAGTGTATACAGGAGATGGCCCCCACTTAAGGCGAGAATGCTGTTCATTAGCAGATCATCACCGTAGGCGACCGGCAACAGCCAAGACACGAAAGGCGTATCGGCTGCTGGGGCCAGTTTGGGACCAGTAACGTCCAGATAGTGTGACAGTAAGATTTGGGATTCCGGCAGTAACATCGCTCGTCGAGGACTCAAAAACGCCTTCAGCTCCGGACACCATGATGCAATGTGATTTTGCCTATCATCTATATCGCGATCGGCAATGTCCGAGGACAAATTGGAATCCATGCTGGCGGCCCGAGCAGCAGAAGACGTGGAGGAGGGTGCATTTCTGGTCTCTGGGGGACAGCCACCCCTGGTTGGACCGCGTTCACGAGGAAGAGCATCATCCGGAGCCTGTGGCCCAGAATTGAGACCAAAGATGCGGACTATATGGGGAGGCCACGTGCATTTTAACTTGTTGCGTGTGCATGCCTGACATTGTGGTTTCGTCTCATCGCATTTCTTTTTCCGCTGACGGCAGGAGAGGCAACCAGTCCGGGTGCGCGGGATTCTTCGGTTCATGTTAGAACACTCGCAGTTGGGCTCCGGTATGGTCTACGACGCGGAAGACGATTTTCCAAGCAGGTGGATAGAGTGGAGGAGTGCAACCAGCGTACAGTGCTTCCCCGTCAAGAAGTTGTAGCAAATTGGACCGAAATGTGGCAACTGCGGGGGACCCTCATGGTGGATCTGCCGATAACCGCGGCTACAGATAAGGATTTAGCGTTTCATCGTCCCACGTTCCTGATCTGCCGTCCCCCGACGATCATCGCTGGTACTGTGGGACGTTGCTGTAATCCGGGGGAGGGAAGCGGGTGGTCGTCACAACAACCACATGACCGGCGTCACATGGTCCCTCCCGGCGGGTCACGGGGTTTGCCATCGACCACACTTCCACGTCTCCCTTTGCATCGCAACTGGGAGATTGCGATAGACCTGATTACCCCGTGGATCAAAGATCGCCGGATGAGACTGAAACAAGACTTGAAGTTATACCAATAATATGGAATCCCGGTAAATTCACACTATACTAATGATCTAATGATCGTCGCGAGGTATAGAATCAGAGACATCAATATATATATATATCTCTCACTGATGCAAATGTCTCAACACGGTTACGACACCACACATCACGAATTACTTCCAATCAAACCAGCAGGATCGCGAGCTCAATCTGTATGGTCCTCCACAGTAATCGGCGTTCCCGCCCTAACTTTTCCTTAATTCTCTGGCCCGTTACTGTGACCCTTCATCCAGGGATAGATAGTAGTGGGCTTTATCTCCATATTTGATCGTTTGAGACGATACACGGAAAATCGAGAGAGGTCCTTCGACCTGGTGCGTTTAAGGCAGGCCTAAAAATATGCTGTAGGAACAAGTGAATCCATGTATCCGGACGCACTGGATAGCTGCAATAGAAGCGCACGTTCCTCGGGCATCAGATTAACAGAGGAGAGAAAAGAGGTAGTTGCGCCGTGTGCTACTGCATGGTCCCATTCATGATTGCGTCCTGATATCGGGGTCGACCATGCTGGAATCGTCGCATCACGAGGTAAACAGAAAGCGTGTTGGGATACTGACCCACCGGCTGAAGTGCCTGTTTCGTAGCTCGTTTCGGCAGTCATCGCTGATTTCAGCAGTGCAATTGCGGCGTCGGGTAAGTACCTGGTCAGCCCGTTCGCATTTAACTGGTAGAACATAGACCTGATGCGCGAAGAAACGTCGGAAATGGAGTGTTCCAGATCAAACTTCAGCGTCGGGATGGTCTCTTCGCATGCAAGCCCAGCATGGCACAGCGCACTCTTCGCAGCAAGCCAAACCCCATGGAGAATAGCGCGATGAAGGATAATAGTATTGCTGAACCTGCCGCTCGTCTCCCGTAGAACTGGTGGCTTTGACCATTGCAGGCCCCGAGGCAGTGCGTTATACCATCTTTCGAGTTCCTCGACACACTGTGAGACCACAGCACATTTCGAGCCCGGGATATCGACCAGCGACTGCATGACTGGTTCGAGTTCGAAGCCATCTTCGTTTGGCTGGGCCCCGTATTGACAGTCTAAGCCATATGAGATGCGCCGGCAACATTCTGCCAAAGCAATACACAACTTGGGAAGTGCGTGAACGCTAAAGACGTCCCCCCTTGGTGTCCCAGTACACCGCGATATCCAGTGAACACCTCGCAGCCAAGATCTTGCATCAAAGTCCTGAAGCTCCAGCGGGGGGATATCAAATTCCTCGTACCGGGTTATCATAGGTGTCCGGAAGGAAATCGCTAGGATACAATCCCGCATATAGCAAGTCCACAGGATGCGCTTCCATAGCCTCTGGGGGATCTCCATCGTTGGATCTTGGTGGATTAATTGTGCACGAGTCATGGCAACGGTAAGATGGTGTCTGGTTTGCATTATAAGGTCGGGATTGTCAGGCCGGAGGGTCATCAAAATTACCGACTGTAACACGGCGAGTCGATCAGGCTCACAGTCGAGGGAATAGAGTAGTTGTGCTCGGTTGAAGAACTCTAGTTGCGCCTCTTTTGCGCTATGATATCCGTATTTGTTGAGCATACTAATGTCCACGTACGCAGTGGCAGCAAACATCATCATCTGGAGCAACACTAGGCTGACGGTGCCAGTGCGACCATTACTCTCTATTCTCGAGTAAAGGTCGCCCAGATCAATGACGGGCAAGAAGGGGTGGACAAATAGTGCGAAGCATTCCAGAAGCGCATCCAGTAGCTCAGCCTCCGGAATATTCAAAGCACCCTTCACCCGCAAACAGTCCCGATCCGCTGAAGAGAGTCTCAGCAGCAATGGGCTGATATACTGCGGCAGCGTCACGTTTTGAACCTCAACATCAAGACCCATCTGATTATGTCCCCGAGATTCTGGAGAAACGATAGGACCGGACCAGTTCAGCTCTTCCCAGGTTAACACATCTACCAGATCAGCTTGGTGGTCGTCTGCAGAGGCGTTGCTATCTTGGGCCTTATCCTCCTTTCGTGACCATTGAGGCGTGGATTTCCGGCTGCTGGTATCCCCTTCGCGCTCTCGTTTTTCGTATTTGTTTTTGGGAATGATGCACTCGTGCTTGAACCATCTGCAATTCGTACATGGTCTGCCTCCTGCCGCATCGCATCGGATTTTCCGATCGTGACAAAGGAGACATGCCTTGCTACTCCTCTTTCTGCGGGAGGCTTTTCGATTTACGACAAATCTGGGTGAACGTTGTGACATTTCGCGGGTGAGATTTCAGTGGTGCTGCCGAAGGTACTAATACAGGAGGGAGCGAGAGAACCTGAAGCAAGTAGAAAGTAATTACAGAGTGGACATTCGTGTCTCGTCCACGCCTTGGAGAAAGGGAAAATGGACCGCTCACCTTCTCGATGGGCTGCTGATGGCGACTGACTGTCATCCGACTAATTGCGGTTATATAGTAATTTGGCGTGGCCAGCATCGGCTTGAAATCGATGACGACGAACCATCTTTGCGAAGAGCCGCCAACTGAAGGTAAATACAGGTTGGCTGCCCCAAGGTACTACTGGAGTGGCGGGTCGCGCAGCGTCAAATGGCCACCGGAAGACTGCCTGCCTGCCTCGCCTTGGCAACACGGGTAGAGATATCTACGGCGGCTACAGATAAGTGGTGGGCCCCAATTGCAGATGGCTCGCCAAGGCGACCCCGAACTGGACTCTAAAAGCCCAGAGTACGTGTAAATCAGATTGCGGTCCGTTCGTCTTTCTCAGTCTTCTACAAATCTAGCTCCAGCTTGTCGTCCCTTCATACTACTCTGATACAGGGGTCGAGGACTCCGGGAGGTACGAAACAATGGGAGTGGAGACTATTGGTTCAAGACAGTAAAACAATACACGGCAGGAACATTCGTGTAGACGCCATCATCTCATGCCAGGAGGCTATACCAAACCATGGGAGGTTGTCACAGACGAGAAGTAGGATCGGTCGAAAGGGCTTTGACCACTTCAGCGCCTCCTCGCTGCCCAGACTGGATCGCACCTTCCATATAGCCACGCCATACACGCGAAGTCTCGGTTCCTACAAAATGCACATGCCCAAAGGGGGCAGCAATCTCTTTGCCCACGATGGACAGGATGCCTGGAGTGGTGATCGGGCAGGGGGCACCAAGGAAATACGCTTCTTTGGTCCAATCCATCTCCAGGACATTCACGGGCCGAGGAACATCAACGTACTGACCAAATGCCTGGCTGAATTGCTCCCAGGCCTGTTGCTGACGGGATGCCCGGGGCAGTTTCGACCACTGCCTTCCTTTGTCACCAGCCATAAAGCAGGTGATGGTCCACTGGTCATCCACCGGGACGCTCGTATCCCGAGAAAAGATGATGGGTCCCTTTTCCGAATCGAGGACGCCCGAGAACCCAGCTTTCTGCCACCAAGGCTCGTGGAACACATAGACCACCTTAGTATAATAGCCTGTGGTGGTGTTCTCACTCAGAGCCAGCTTTTTCTCCGGCAGGGGAGGGTTAAACTCGATTTTATGATACAAACTGCTCGGGACAGACACAATGACTCGTTGGCACTCGAAGGTGGCCCCTCCTTGTGTCTCTACTACACAGTGTCCCCGTCTAGATTGATCAATGGATGTAACGGGGGTTCGGAGAAAAACAACGTCGGGACCCAGTTCTTCTGCCATCTTCCGCGCGATGGTTTGGTTTCCTGGGGACGTTAGACACATCGGCTCGTGAAGGTGATGATAACACATGATGGATTACCTTGTCGGTTGCGCAAGTACTGGCCGCCGTTCTTCTGGTCCGAGATAATATTGTCGATGCCCGCACCGCTCTTAAAGTACAGAAGCATGAAAAGCGCACTGACTTCATCGCTCTCTACCCCAAGTAACGAGACGGAAAGCACATCGGCGATGGCGATGGCACTCTCCGACTGTATTTTTGCGATACAAAAGTCACGGAATGTGAGCTGATCGATTTCTCTGGCTCGGGCAGAGCTGGTCGGGTCATCCAAGTCTATCAGTGAGCACTCGTCTCGAAACACCTGAAGGAGGCCCAGTAGTGCAGTAGGATCCCCCTGGGATAGTTGCAGTTAGCTTGGCATCATGATAGCAGAGGAAAATCACAAATGGACCGGAAGAAGAAAAAAACGAAAGGAAGGACGAAGACAAAGGACGCACTGGAAATTCTCCGTATGGCACTTTGGCAAGGGATCCATCCGGCGATTGAATCAGAGTGTGTCCACGGTCGCGCTGGACCTCGGTGTCGATACCGTACCGTTGGTAGAGCTTGAACATCTCACTTTGGTTGGTGTCATTGATCCAGGATGCACCTAGATCATTAAACCCCTTCTCACAGGACTTGGCCGTCAATGTCTTTCCGCCCACTCGGTCAATGGCTTCCACGACACACACTTTGAAACCGGCCGCCTGCACGATGTGTGCTGCTTGAAGGCCACTGAGGCCAGCCCCTACCACCACCACGTCGTAGTTTTCATGTCTTGTCGGGGTGGCTGTCATGTTGCTTAGAGAGAGCTATATAGCGAAATGAACTTTTTTTTTTTCACAAGAGGAGGTAATGCGTGATGGAATGGCAAATTGATACAGGCTGGCTCTGGAAGGGGATGATAGTGGCAGCTTTATAGACGGGATGCCTTCACGATGATCCCGATTACGTCGCCTGCAGTGGGGCTACCTGTTATTCGAGCATGATGTAGCTATTTCCGCCATCTCCCATCACTAGGCAGCCGGATAATACGAAGTCTATGCTGGTCGTATCCTTATCTACAGCCGCGGTTATCGCACATCCCAGAGTTGGAAATGGTTGCGGAGTACGGCGGAGACGATCGGCTGGAGGGTAAGTCTCCACTAACGACCCCACGGATGTGCGCCTAGTGTCCAACCTTAACGTAACTGGGATTGGGAGTTGGATTTCTACCCAGGAGGGTGGAGCCGGCTGCAGACAGTGGGTAGCATCGTGGGATTTCCGTGGGTTCAGCGGGGATCACTTTGCGGTAGATTGAGCTCTCTTGACTGAATTGATCGCTAAGGGTGCCCAATGGGATTGATCTGGCGGTGGTCTATCGCGTCATTACACTATTTACTGTACTCAATGTTCAAGCATGATGTAATGCTGTTCGGAGCGGCTCTACTTTTAGAAACTTCGTACGCCTCGCGGAAGAACCGTTCACCCACTCAGATCAAGAAGCCGGTCTGGAACGGATCGTCAGGGTCTAGTAGTACTTTCCGTTCGCCTGTGATCCATGCTCTGCCTTGAATATTTGGCAGTACTGCATCAGTGTTGCCCACTTTCCGTGTCCCCCGTATACTGCCAATGAACTCGGTGTCGATGACACTTCGGAAGGTGACCTTTTCCCCGATTCGTATTTGGCCTCTGGCGTAGAGAACGGCCAGGCGCGACGAACTTCCAGTCCCACAGGGGCTCCGATCCAATCTTCCAGGCGTGACGATGACCGTATGCCTCACTGACTTGACCCCATCCTGGCTGACAAGAGGCTCACTGATGATGATATTATTAATGCCGCGGATCGCCGGATTGTCCGGGTGTGCCGGCATACATTGCGCGAGCACTGCCGCCTTCAGTCGGTTGCCAAGGTCGATCAGTCGGTCTCGATTCGACGTGTGGACCTCGATATCCAGGTCTTTAGCCTGGGCGATCACATACCACTGGCCACCGTATGCGATGTCCACCCGGATTGTTCCACAGCCAGGAATGTTGACCGCTTGGTCCAGTCCATACACGAAGGCCGGGACGTTGTCGAAGGAGACGGACTTGCATCTCCCATTGCTGCACTCGGCGGTTGCCGTGATTAATCCGGCCGCAGTATCCAGCTTCACCTCGGTGAAGGGCTCTTGCATTGAGATGGCTCCGGTTTCCAGCAGGACGGTGACAGTGCATATGGTGTTCGACCCTGACATCGGTACCCAGTCCCCAGGGGCCATGATGAGAAAGCCTGCATCCGCCTGAGGGTTGCAGGGTGGAAGCACCAGGACCACACTCATTTCGGGGCGACCCCTTGGCTCGTGTAGCAGCAGCCGGCGTAGATCATCTTGTTCATTCACGAAGCGGACCAGCTTTTCATGCATCGTCTTTGCTGGTTTGTCAAGTACACCACCGAGAATCACATCGCCCGCCTCCCCCTCACAATGGGAACAGACCAGGGATATGTTGCGCAGCGATCGCATTGTGGTATGGTCGATGGAATGATGGGTGAAGCAGGCCTGAAGCAGACAGATCGGTACTGATCCCTCAGCCGTAGAAATACTTCTCCAAGGACCGCCACGGAAGGGCTTGCTGGGTTCTCGTCGACCACTTCCTCTCCGCCCGGGATCTCCATCTAATCATCCGGAAACGCTTGCCCAAATCCATGCACTGGGCAGTGGCCGATTGGTGGAGATTGCCCGCCGCTAACTGGGTTGAGTTTAGTGGGGGAGATCTATCGAAAACGCTATCACCGTTGCTCTCCGTAAAAGTGGTGAGAACGATGACACGCTTTGGCCCTGCCCCAAAGTGACGGGGATCTTTTTCCGAAGAATGCGTTGCAGGGAGTGCTGTCGTACACAGCGAGGTCCCACGTATATTGCGGAGGAAATGCAGAATGCAGCATGGCAGGTGGTTCCGCCCCGATTACACCATGCGGTCCGTCATGAGATCCGCCGCTGGCTATCTAAATACCTTCCAAGTACATGGCTTCTTACAGGAAGGGCCCAAAGGTCATCGCTTTCACCATGCCTTCAACCAACACGCATATTGGCATCATTGGCTCAGGTATCATCGGCCTTTTGTCGGCGCTGACGCTCACCGATGCCGGCTACAAAGTGACTATCGTGGCACGAGATCTGCCGGGCGATGAATCTCAAGATTGGGCCAGTCCTTGGTGAGTTTCGCCTGTTTTTCACATTCAATTGCACTGCGTACTGACCGAGAATGGAGGGCTGGCGTATCAATATTCCCTCATCCAGACGCTGGCGGTAACTCCCTCCAGACGGAGAATTTCAAATACTTCTGGGCTCTAGCGCATAGAGATCCTACGAGTGGTGTTCAGGTACGTTGCCAACGGTGTAGACATGCTTGTCATCTTGTTACTAATCCGACCCGTGTCATGCCCAGGTCATCAAGGCGACCGAACACTACGATGATCGAGAGGATGATTCAACCATCTGGTACAAGACGGTCGTTCCGCACTATCGTCTGATTCCACAAGAGAAGCTGCCCAAAGGTGTCAAACTTGGGTTCACATATACTTCGATGACGATCAATCCAGCATTCTTCCTCCCTTGGATCCAAACGCAACTAAAAGCACATGGAGTCACATTTATTCGGAGGACGCTAAGATCCATCCAAGAGGCAAAAAAGATCACCGGAACAGAGTACATCGTACACGCATCGGGGCTGGGAGCGTATACACTTGCGGATGATAAGAATGTAGAGGCCATTCGTGGACAAACAATGTTTGTCAAGACTGACTTTAACGAATTGAAGATGCACCAAGGTTCCCACTATACCTATGTCATTCCGCGGATGTTCACCAACGGTGCAATCATTGGCGGCGTCAGCCAGCCCGGTAGTTTGGATCGCAATGTGGACCAGGCACTACGCGCGGACATTCTCAAGCGCGTCAATATGCTTACCGATGGGGGCCTTCGCTCGGTCGATTTGGACAGGGACGTAGAGAAGGACATTGTCGCGTTTCGGCCGGGAAGAAAGGGAGGATATCGTCTGGAAGCTGAGGCTGATATCGTGCACGCCTATGGGTTTGCCGGCCTTGGTTATATTTTCAGTTATGGCGTGGCTTTAAAGGTCCGGGAACTGGTTGATTCGGTGGTGGAGAAAGGTAGGCTTCCAAGGAGCCACCTTTAGGGTATTTTGGCCCATGTAATGCAATGCGGGGATGTATAGAGGATCAAGCGCTACTCCATTCAATGTTGTCTGTATTACGTAGCGACATACACAAACTGCAAGCATCTGTGGTCTAGGAATGAATTGTTTATGGCCCTGTCGCGTCGCAGTGAAGTCAATTGTAATCAGGCGCGAGGACGAGGGGTCGCATGTGGCATATGCATCGATCTATGCCCAAGCACGCACTATCAACGAAGAGTTCCTGGGCACTGGGCGGGATCCCAGAAGGCAACCTTGGCTTGTCCTGAGATCAACGGGGGGCCAGATATCCCACAATCCAATGGTAGAATGGCTGCTACGCTTGATAGTCTCGGTGAAAGCCGGTGTGGCGCACGGAAGCGCTTGCCCATGAGGCCTCTTGATGGCTGTGATCTTGCTATCTCTCCAGTCTTTGTATAGGCGATAAGCTATCCACGGCGGGCGCTGAGTGGGTGGTGATATCAACCCCGGGGAGTCGCCGAAGATGTCTGGGGCACCCGAGGTATAACCCCAAAGCTCCACCTTCTTGGCGATGATAAGAACACGCCCCGTAAGTGATTTTTCCTCTGCTCACGGAAGAAGTTGCCTTCTACGTGGGCTTCCCCGCATGGTCATGTCTGCTCCACATCCAAGCCAGCAGTATATGGAGATGCGTTAGCTCTAAATAACCGATCTACTCCTTGCAGATGTTGGACCAGCAATCGTCTAGATCTTATTGTCCCAATTCTCTCGTACCTTCAGCTGCCCATCATGAAGAAAGAGATCGTTTCTGATCCTGACCCGGAAAATATCACGCATACGCAGTCGCAGGTAGGCGAAGGCTTTGTTAGCAAACCAATTCAAGACGATGCTGTCTTCGGCGAGATTCGTGAAGGAGATACCAACTATCGTGATGTGAGCTTTCATCTGCCGTTCCTCGAAATCAGACTGGACTGACATGGCCTAGGTGAGCTGGATGGGGACAACAGCTCTGTTGATCAAAACCCAAATCGGCCTAGGTGTTCTTTCGATGCCGAAGGTTTTCCACGTCCTCGGGATAGTGCCCGGGATTATTGTTCTTCTTGCCATTGCGGGGATAACGAGTTGGTCGAACTGGATGGTGGGCGTCTTCAAGTTACGCCATCCCAGTGTTTATGGAATTGACGACGTGGGAAAAATGCTCTTTGGGCGAGCTGGCTTTGAGCTATTCGGTGCGGCGTATACCTTGTGTGAGTAATCATGGTCCTCCAGGAATCGGGTGCGGTTCTAACCTGTTGCAAGACTGGATCTTCGCTGGTGGCTCTGCGTTGCTGAGCATCTCGATTTCCTTGAACGCGCTCTCTGACCACGCCGCCTGCACTGCGATCTTCGTGGCCGTTGCTGCCATCATTGCCTTCATCTTCTCTAGTATCCAAACCCTTGCTCGTATAAGCTGGCTCGCCTGGCTAGGGACGGCATGCATTATCACTGCGGGTAAGCTTATTAGAGGTCCAGTCCGGACGTTGGTCTAAACATTGGCTAGTTTTCATCGTCACCATCGCCGTTGGAATTCAGGGTCATGCGCCGATGACTGCAGGTGTTATCCCAGAACCAGACTTCAAGATATTTGGCAACCCAACTTTTGTTGAGGCCATGACCGCCGTATCCACAATCTGTTTGACATACGCTGGGACCCCCGCCTTCTTTAACATCGTCTCTGAAATGCGGAATCCGGAACTGTATACTCGATCCCTGGCAATTTGCCAAATCCTTGTCACTGTCATTTATATCGTGGTCGGAACAGTCGTATACTATTACTGCGGGTCTCATGTTGCTTCACCGGCTCTTGGCTCTGCAGGAACACTGATTAAGAAGATCAGCTATGGCTTTGCTCTCCCAGGACTCAGTGTTTCCGCGATTCTCCTGCTTCATGTGAGTCTGTGCCCGCTGGTCCTTGATTGACCAATTGTGCTGTTCCGCGAAGCTGACCGTAGAGGAAGCTACCTGCAAAGCACATTTTCATCCGAATTCTTCGGGGCACCAAGCACCTTACTGCCCCGACTCGGACGCACTGGGTCGTCTGGCTAGGATCCACCTTCAGCGTGATCTCCGTCGCGTACATTGTTGCAAGCAGCATCCCTGTTTTCAGTGATCTTGTATCACTTGTTGGGGCGCTCTTAGCAACGCCTTTGTGCTTTCAACCCATGGGATGTATGTGGCTGTATGATAACTGGGCACCCGGCAAGCGAGAGAAGTCTGCGAGGTGGTGCGTGGGTGTTGCCTGGTGTATCTTTGTCATTCTGACTGGCTTCTTCTTGACAATTGGGGGCACATATGGCTCTATAATGAGCATAGTTACTTCCTACGAGAAGTCGGGGGGATCATCTGCCTGGTCTTGTCTCAACAATGATCATTAAGTAGTGTTGTTATGTACATATTATGTCTCTCTCTGTGGGTGTAAAGATATTCCCGCCCAGTGCAATAATTGTTCGCCCCAGGAATGTTTACTTTCATAGTTCAAGCCTCAGCTGAATTGGCCTAATCACACGAACAGGCTGTGCTGGACTTGTATCGGTCATTCTTTACTTCATGAGCTGCGACAATGATGTCTTCCTCACGTCTTCGGATGGGCGTATTATGGCTCAGAGAAACAAATAGCGATGCGATGAAAATGGCAACCCGAAGACAACTGGAAATAAGAAACCAAGATGCGATAAGACCTCATGCCCCATCTACACCTTTCAATGTCCATATCCACGTCAATGAGGTAAGGCAATGGCGTGCTAAACCTGCCAAACCTCTCTTCCGAGCTTCCGGATCGTGTAATAATCGATCAGGACATGATTCCACCATGAGAACCACACTGTTGTACTCCAATGCAATAGGAGATATATAGTGTGAAATGTTTTGTCTACATAGAACTAACACGATGTGTATGCCTAGCCGTACATATACGTTTATCCAGCCACCAAACCATGAGGATATTGACGACGGTGCTAATTGAGATAGATCGCTGGAGGATTGATACGGCAAAGCCTATTACGGAATTTTCTGTGACCATGTCGTTCAATCGGAGCTTTTTGGTTGAGAAATCCCAAATCCACCCACCCTTTTTCTATAGCGAGGGCTAGAAAGGACTTGCTGTCGTAGGAACCACTTCCTCTCTGAATCAGATAGCGTGTTCTTGGCGGCGGCGCGTCGGATACTCTTGCTCTCAGAATCACATCAACGCCCTGTGACACGCGGAATGGCTAGGGGAAGTCAAATCCTCTTGGCTCAATACATCCAGGGAAAGAGGATACGAAGCGACTCTTCTGATCCTACCCCGGCCTTACCCCAGTTTTCCCTCTAAAGCAAGTGTGGAGGTCGATTGGAGGACAGCTGCGGGATTTGGAAACCCTACGGAACCACTTGCCATTTGTACAGGTGGGTCTTGGGGAAGTCCTCCACCGGTTGTGTCCGTCAAGTAATTCGAGAGCAATTCAAAAGGCCGCGATCTGGAGGTTATTGATCATGGATACACTGAATAGAACAGCGCTGCGCCCACCCCTCCCGTTGTCCTCTCTTCAGGCCATTCTCCATACTTCGAATCCTTTCCCTGGTCCATCCTGATAAGACACCATAAACCCTCTATCCCGAATCGAGAACATAAGCGCAATGGGAGACCTTCACGGAATCATGGTGGCATTGGTCACTCCTTTCACTGATGACCAGACTGCCATCCATGAAGGCCGCCTCCAAGTGCTCGTCGAACGACTCATCAAAGCCGGTGTCCATGGCCTTGTCCCCGGCGGAAGTACGGGTGAATTCACGTCGCTGACTCTTGCTGAACGCAAACAGCTTACGGAGCTCGTTGTCAAGTACACAAACGGCCGAGTGCCCGTGGTGGCTGGCACAGGAGGCCTGACGACTGCCGAGACCCTCGAGCTCTCCATCCACGCGGCACAAGCGGGCGCCTCCGCGATCATGGTTGTTCCACCATTCTATGACGCTGTTAATATGAAGGAGCTGAGGAGCCTGATGACCGAAATCAATCAAGTCGCACACATTCCCATCGTATTCTACAATATACCGTCTGCAACAGGCCTAAAGCTGAGCCCAACGGAACTGGCTAGTCTCTCCACAGTGGGCGTTCGCTACTTGAAAGACACATCTGGCGACGGACCGGCCTTGACAGAGTTGCTATTTGGTCTCTCTGGTAAAATTACGGTATTCAACGGCTGGGATACCCTTACCTTCTATGGGCTGGCTGCCGGTGCGCGAGGAGGGATTTGGGGCGCTGCGAACATTATCCCCGAGTTGGCAGTGGAGCTATGGGAGGCAGTCGCGGTTGAGGGAGACCTTAAGAAAGGTCGTGAGCTGTGGGCCAAGGCTTGGCCAATCTGCAAGTTCCTGGAATCCCACAACTATGCGGCAGCCGTCAAGACGGGTCTGGAACTGACTGGGAGCCCTACCGGTGGTCTACGAAAGCCTTTCGCCATGCTGGAGCCAGAGTTGAAAGCCGAAATGAAAGCTTTGCTCCAGAATGCGGGCGTGAAGACAGCCTAAGTCTAGAACTATCTACCTATACGCTGTATCTAAGAACCGCGCCAGATATTTTCAATACCAAAAATCATAAAGTGCATCCTCCTTTTAGATTACACATCATGCCATGCATAACTGTTAAGTGTATGAACAATGTACGACCAAGCTGATATCAAATTCTATTCACACCGAGAAAGAGCCTAAGCCCGAATATCGACTGAACCAGCCAAGATTTTAGAAAGAGACTTCCAAAACTCACTCCTTGTACTATGCACTTTGCGATAGGATCAACATTGTGAATTCTGGTAATAAGCTCGTTCACATATGATCGAGGAAACTCTCCATTGATGTGACATCTGGATCAAGGCAATAAAGGGTGTCGATCGCGGTTATAGAATCAAGTTACCTCCTTCCCTGAAGCACAAACATCACTGAGTTAGAGTCACTCCACTTGATTGTTGGCACCTTTTCACATCTTTTACTTATCTTCGCTCCTTTTAGTTGTTCCCCATTGTGGATATCAACTTCATGAAGTATGCATCATCACAACAAGAAACCGAGGCATCTGAGCCCCGAGAAGCATTGTAAATGAAGCATTGTGCGATTTCAAATATCGCCTCCGACGTGCCATAGGGATGGTGTACTTTGCCTCCCTTCCTCCTGAAATAATAGATATGAGGAACGCAACGTTCTGGTTGTTTATTCTGGGTGCCTATGCACATGATTATAGTTGAAGTTGGATATACAGAATCTTGGCCATGACTCTTCTCACATAGATATACGTTACTGCTTGTTCAGTGACATATAAGAAAGAATAATCATGCGGCCGGTTTTCTTGAACTGCATCATCAAGTCGCCCCCGGTGTTGTTGCCTAGTGGCGGTTCTGCTTGCATCTATCTAGGTCTTGATGGGTACCTTCTGTTGGGCGATAAATTGACTGTGCCTTTGCTTTTTCACCCAAGTCCTTAGTGAATAGATAAACACTTGAGTCATCGGCATTGAATCTCTCTCAGTTCAGGGGGATACTAGGAAAGGCCCCAGCATCCCAGGGTTCGGGTGCGAGTGGACCTTCTGAAAACCCGACCACTCTAGCAGACTATGGCCAAGACCAAGACCAAGACCGAGTTAACTACTACTCCGTATGATACTTAAAATTAATGTAGTTGTCAGGCCTCGTCAGTTTAGCAATTAGAAGTCATGATCCTAGGCATAGTGATAACATTTTGAGATCCATCATACTAAGCAGAGCTTGGCCTTCCAATCAAATTCACTAGTGGCTATCAGAACTATCCAGGTCTGAATAACATTCCCCTGCCAATACTCTGCCAGCCGATGTTGACGGGCAGGATCTCTTAGTGGACTCTAGATATCGAGACATCACTAGTTATGGAGCCAAGCTTTCGTCGTTACACGTGTCGACTTTTAGCCTTGGGTCTCTTGCAGATCGGCTGGGCCAGTGTTCTCCACAAGCAGACGGAGCTGGTCCGGTTCCGAGTTCCAGATATCACCGCCGACTCCCTCCACAACGTTCATATTGATTTTATCGATTCGGGTTTCCAAGGTGAGATCCAACTCCTCTATGGTGACTGTGATATCTCCACTCCCAGCCAAGAGCACCATGAGATTGGAAGCATGTCTGTGAAGCGTGACGCTCATCCAGAGCGCTTCGTCTGGGTGACCCCGTTGGATGCTCCCCATCTCCATTGCCTCCATGCGTACTCAGGATCAACGTTGGTAGGGAAGTCTGCTCCAGTATCTGTGGCCAAACCACTCATACGGCGAGAGAATATTGCGGATGTAGCTGATCTAATGGGGCCCTGGTTCGATGGTGTCTCATACATGCAGGCCAAGGAGCCTGGGAAGGCCGTCGTGGCCCAAGCGAAGGACGCCGCCGTGGCAATTATCGGAGGGGGGGTGTCCGGCCTGATGACCAGCCTTTTGCTAGAATCAATCGGCATGCATAACTGGCACATCATTGAATCTTCGGGCAGAATAGGTGGCCGTATCCGTACCGAGTACATGAATAATACTCGCCCAGACCAATACCAGTATCAGGAGATGGGCCCGATGCGGTTTCCCCTGAGTATCACCTATGCGGACAACAATCAGACCGTCGAGATTCAAGACCACAAGATGGTTACCCAGCTGAGTGACGTGCTCAACGGAATGAACCTGGACCATCCCGAGCTTGTTCTCAACTTCATTCCCTTCATTGAGAAGAGCCCGAACGTCCCAGCTAGCTCCGACGGGTATCGTTTACCGAATGGTCTTATCCCAACTACGGCAGATATAGCAGCCAATTCGTCACTTGTATACAAAGCAGCGTCTTCTAATGCAACAGCAACTGCAGATGCAGTACATGCGTACACAGACTATACTACTGCGAGCAATATCAGCGGAAAGATCGTCACAGATATGTACCGGGCACACAAGTCTGCGGTCGAAAGCGGATATTTCCACTGGTCAGAAGCTGGCTATCTACGATATGCTTTGGGGTATAATGACAACATCACCGATTATGTTGCTGGGTCTGAAAATATTCCAATGTGGGAGAGTCTCTACGACCGCGTCTACTCCAGTGCCACAAAATGGTGCACCATTGACAAAGGGCTGGAGTCGCTCCCGCGTGCCTTCTGGCCACATGTCGCGAATAAGACCACTTTGAACCGCAAAGTCCAGGGGTTATCGTTCAACGAAACATCTGGGAAGATCGCTGTCAGTTGGCGCCACGACCCGATGCAGCTGGACCCCGAAAGTGCCGAATATGACTATGCAGTGGTCTCTGCGCCATTCAGTAAGGTCCGTTTATGGGACATGCCTCGCTATTCATCTCTTCTGAGTCGAGCTATCTCCACCCTGAATTACGGTCAGTGCTGTAAAATGTCGCTGCATTTCAAGACACGATTCTGGGAGCACCAGGAGAAGCCAATCTATGGAGGATGCGGATCGGTGGACTTACCAGGAATCGGATCGGTGTGCTATCCATCATTCAATATACACGGCACCGGACCGGGCGTTGTCCTCGCATCGTACGTGATTGATACTCAGGCACGGTCGATCGCTGCGCTGAGTACTGAGGACCACGTGTCTCTGGTGCTGCGGGCTATGGTTGAAATCCATGGCAGAGTTGCCGCCGAGCAATACACCGGTAGGTTTCCGTCCTATTTACTTGAGACCGAGACAGGATTACTGAGTGATGATAGGCATCTACAGTCGTCAATGCTGGGAGGTTGACGAACACCAAGCTGGAGCTTGGGCGGCTCCACTGGTTGGACAGCAGGAGCTGTATCTTCCTGCATACTACCAAACTGAATTCAAGACAATCTTCATTGGCGAGCATACTAGCTACACGCATGCCTGGATCTTCTCAGCATTGGATTCCGCCGTCCGTGGAACAACGCAGCTCCTGCTAGACCCTGGCTTAGTTGATGAGGCTAAAACAATTGTGAATACCTGGATGGGGCGGTGGATCAAGGTCTAAAATGCTTCTCGTGGTTTCTCTAACAAGCTATGGCGCATACTGTCTATACTTTCACTACGTGATTTCTACCAATGTGTAGCAGTATATTCCTTTTAGCAATGCCTTTTCTGTCAAAGTGTATATTATAGCCATATAATTGCACTGTCTCGCAATGTGGACGGGACAGTTTTGCCTTTGTATCTATTCTACCCACGAAAAAGAAACTTCGTTTTTGTTTCTGCTATAAGTCCAGTGGACACATATGACATCCTGGGTTTGTTTGCCAGGGCAAGCCGATTCTTAGCGCCAATCTGGTCGTAATAGCAGGGGTGAGATATAAATAAATGAATTATCCCGTGTCAGACACGCTCTTTTCAGTCTTTCTACTCTTTTCACTCCCCCTTCCTTCCACGTTGTCCAACGGCTGAAGACCCAAAGTCATGCGCCATACTATCTGGAATCGTCAATACGAAGCCTTTCTCAAGGCCAAGAGCGAGGATGGTTGGCCTCCTCCAATCCATATGATTGACGCGCTCAGATCTCTCCTGACCAAGCCATCCATTCATGCATCGGCAGTAGCCAATCAGGTTGTATCGGCTTTTTATCCACACATCCGATCCAGATCCAGATTACACAGTCCTTGGGCTGCTCCTCTTCGACGCGATTGAGAAGTTCACCGAACAGAATGACCGGCTGCTTGACCTTCTTGTCGAGTTCTGGCGGGTTCCCGATTGTAATGGGGCTTTCCACAAGTTCAATGGACTCACCGAATACTTGGTGGAGGTTGTCTTCGATTGTAGGTCTTCCACCTTACCATGGATTACAAAGCCTAATTGGACAGAGGTGGACCATCCATTCTATGATCCTCACCGGGACTGAAAAGGTCAAGGATGGGTCAATACCAATACCTTCACTGCCAAGCTCTATAATACCAGCATCCTTCCGCAAAAGCACGGCCAGCTACAGCGCGCGAGTGGGGTCTTGAGGAAGACACTCGAGACGGCTCTATGGGAAGTATTTCCTCATGAAGACATAGAAGACTATCTGGACTCGTTGCAAGACAGCTATGTTGAATATTATGATGGTAAACTTGACGAGGAGTACAAGGACAGACGTGATCGCTTCCTGGAGGAAATTAACATCGAGACTCTCAACGGATAGATCCCGGGTAGAGCAGGATGGATCACCCTTTGTGGAAAGGGGTCGAGGGGTGGTCAACACAGCGGTGGGAATTCTGGAGACAAAGATTTGAATGGGTCAGCACGGTTACTGCTCTAAACCGAAAGACACGACAACTTGTCAGGGAAATGGTAGATGAGATGAGACGCATCGAACATGAGGAGTCACAGGCCTTGAGTTAATGAGGAGTAGTGAGTGGCTGGTTTGCTGTAGCGATCTCTGGGCCAATGATGACCAACACCGGCTGCCCGAGGTAGAGTGGATAAAACTTGCCTGTTCTCTAGTCTAGACATACTATGCCCACTCCTCGGTGTATACCTTCAAGGAAGCAGCATCATTAGAAGCTAGAAGACAATAAATAACTAAACATAGCAAAATACCGTATATATAGCAACGGAACTGCTGACTAGAAAGGAGGTACTGCGCTGGTCGTGATGTTCATGTCTCCAAAGGTTGAGCTGTGGAGGCTGTTGCCCTAGCCAGGTCAAGCACTCTAGGACCTTTGTCATGCAGATTACAATTCTATTCACCAACACACAACGAAGCGAACAAGCAAAATCAAAGCAAGAGTGTCAGGCAACCGCACTACATGAAAATCATTACATTTACAAGCATCACCAAGTCAGGGTCATGTTGGCATTTGTGGTAGGCTCGGAGCTTGGCGTGTGACTCAGGCGTGGCTAGCATGTTGGAGGACCGGACTTGAAGATAAATAGTGTCCTTATCGTCCGTCTTTGGATAGAAGTCGGAAAAGACCCTTGTGATTGGTCTACTTTCGGTATATTTGTGTACTTCCGTTACCCAAAATACATGGGAATATATCGTTATTGCAGGTCCCCTGGGCCCTACGTCCGGGTGGCACCTTGATGTCACGGATCCGCTAATGGCTCTATTACCGTGTAGTCTAGATATATCGGAGTATAATTCTCAGGATAAGAGAGGATTGGCATCTTACAGGGAAAATAATACAGTATTAGTACTCTGAGCAATATAGAAGTCACAATATATAAATCTCCACTGAGAGTCTAGGACAGACGATGAGGATGGCTATATGATACCTGTAAAGACAATCCGTCAAATAATCTATTCTCAATCTATTTAGTAATGCTACACTGCCACCCATCGCTCTGACAGACATCCATCATTGTAGATGTCAAGCCATACATGCTACTTAGCCTTGGTTAGCAGAGCCTGCCTGTTCTAAACTATCAAGATAGGACTACTTGCAGCCGGGACTCGCAATATAACCATTGCGAGGAACAATTGTATGCAATGTGCTCAACCCAACGGCTATGCAGGGTATGGTGAAGTCAGCCTATACGGACGTCAGACCATACCTTGGCGTTGAGACCGAGCGAGCGATCCGTCCACCGACGAGAGAGGTCCCCGAATCCCTGCCATTGCTGCAAGTGGAGCTCTGAATCCCGCAACAGATGGAGCAAAACGTCCTGTTACCGATGGATTTGTGGACCCAAGCCAGCTGCAGAAGGTAGTCACCCGCATTTCTCGGTACTGCATCGAGGAAGAGTGAATGCCTATCCCGCCCATAGGCCATGGTGGATATATTCATCCCCGAAACATGCCATGCCGGGGTAGTGGCAAAGAAAATTGCTGCGGATTCCTATACGGATGGGATAAACATCGGTCTATCATCTCGGGTATTTCTCTTTTCGGCAACACCGAAGACCTGCCATGCTGTCTGAGATGACCTCGACTCCAAGAAAATTGGCTCGGGATGTTCGTCCAATCCCTGCTCCTTGTGGTTTATGTCGAGCGAAAGTACTGTTACCCTGGCCCCGAGGTGCCCGTCAGGATGCTAGCAAGCAAGAGGTAGGCCATGCGTGAAGCAGTTTGAATGCAGTATCACCCTAATTGTCCAATTTAACCAAGCGTTGCAGCACATATGGTCCGAAGACATTGAGAGGTACCTTCACCGAGACACATGCCGATCTCCGTTATCCAGGCGACACCCCGAGGTCTGGGCACAATGCTAGGAAACGGGTATGTGTCAGATGTACACGACCTCGTTCCGCTGGGTCTGCGCAGGAGTATCTCTAGTGGAGACGTGGGTCCGGCAACAGAGAATACGTAATTATATTGCCATGGAAATTCCAACACCTTGACCCTATGGGTGGCTTGCTTTACTTAGATGGTCTCCAACACGGACAGAAGCAGAAGGTACAACGCGAAAAAGGCGCAAGTGCGAGTGGAGTACCCAGACGTAGATGGAGATTTAGGTTTACGAACGACTCCACAGATCCATATCTATATCCCCGGCCCGATGTCGACCAGGCTCGGACATAAGGGAGCACCGAGCAAGTGCCGCATTAAAAGGTTCTATAAGAAGGCTTCATGCATCGCTGTTACTCGAATGCCACCATCCTTAAGTTTTTCGGGCCTCCGTTGCTACCGCACCATGACGAACCCAGCGACGAGGAAATATCTCTTCACCGGAGGCTATGTGGCGACCATGGATGGTTCACTGGGCGAGTTCGACCGTGGTGCCGTGATGGTCGAGGATGGTGTGATCACCGCCGTGGGAAGGGCTGACGAGTTCTCCGCTTTAGAATGTGAAGTCATCGATACGAGCGGTGGCGTAGTCATTCCGGGATTCGTCGATACCCATCGCCATACGAGCTTGTCGCTATTTCGTGGGGTCGCGGCAGATCATTCATTAGTCCGCTTCTTGCCCAACTGCTATCTGCGATGGCTACCGGCCGTCGACGCGGAGGATATATACACGGCCTCCTTGGTCAGCGCGCTCGAGGCGATCGATAGCGGCGTCACCACCCTCCTGGATTGTGTCGAAGCACCGAGTTCGAGACAGCATGCGGAAGCCAATTTACAGGCCTTAAAGGACTCCGGCATTCGTGCTTTCTACTGCTACGGGATGAGTGACGGCCAGTACGAAGGGTCGGGGAATGGCCTCCCTGGCTGGGAGGCCCGCCTAGCCCATCTAGAGGACCTCTACCGCTTCAAGAACGAGCACCGCTTAGTTCGTGTGGGTTTGCAAACCAGCCATCCGGGATTGGTCCCCTTTGACCAGACGGAGAGAGAGATCCGGTTTGCTCAGGAGCACGGAATGCTGTGTTGCTCTCACACCGCTCCATTCATGCACACCGGCCTGCATAATGGCGTTCAGGAGCTCGCTGACCGGGGACTCTTGCTCCCGGGTCACGTCCATATTCACTGCACGAGTCTGAACCATCACGAAATGGGGCTGCTTGCGGCCTCGGGTGGTAAAGTGTCCATTGCCACGGAGACAGAGATGCAAATGGGCATGGGTATCCCCCCAATCCGGGCGTGCATTGAACATGGCATTAAACCCACCTTGAGTATCGACACGACCAGCATTGTTGCACCCGACTATCTCGCCCAGATGCGTTTGGCGCTTCAGATGCAGCGGTTGCTGGATAATGATACGGTCCATGCCTCCCGCAAGGCCCCAACGCAACTCGACCTCGGAGTGCGCGATGTCTTGACCTGGGCCACTCGGAATGGTGCTGACGCGGTCGGAATGGCCGACCGAATCGGCACATTGACCCCTGGCAAGCGGGCTGATCTCGTCTTTATCTCCTCGCAGCGGTTTCTTAGTACGTCCGCGTTCCCTCTGGGGACAGCCATCCTACACTCCACCCCAGCCGACGTCCATACCGTCATGGTCGACGGGGTGATCCGAAAGCGTGACGGCCAGCTAGTCGGTCACAACCTCGAAAGTATCCGCGCCAATGCAAATTCTGCATTGCGGCGCACCATGGCAAATGTACGGAATTCCCGCCCCGAGATGACTGAAAAGGAGCTAGACCAGTTTCTTCTTGATGCTGAACGCTTGACACGGGCGAACCTGGCCAGAGCCTATGGGGGCTCGATAGACAGTTGCTGGACGCCGAGCGTTCCTTGATTAAATTATTGACTATTTATCTGTGTTTGTAATTGCTGCTTTGGAACTAGTATTACCAACAGCCCTATTGTGTATATACTATATAGTTCTATCTAACTATACTGTAAGTCGACAAGAGCTTTGACATTGTAACAAGAACTTTCTAGGGTATCTAGGATATCTAGAGTCAAAATATCAATTAAAATAACTATATATATAGATTACTTATTGGAAACTATTAGATTATAGTAGGTAGGGAGGATTTCAAGCGGATAAAAAGGTTGCAATGTGTGACGGCCTTGTCATCCGGTATTATGTGATCTGTTGGCTTCCCCATAACTGATATTGTTATGATGATTGTTCTTCTTCCTCTGCTCTTTATATTGAATATTCTTGTTACTGGGCTACTTAGGTTAGTATTAGTTGAATACTATGATGATTCTAGAATGAGTCTATCACACAATAGACAACACTGCAAAGATATCAAGCTATTATCTCTGCGGGACAAACTAGATGATTCCCAACTCCCAAGCAGGGAGGGAACTTTCCCTGTCTTCAATAGCATTTCCCACGGTCAAGTGACGGATGGCGTCCTAGGAGGTGTTATCCAAAGAATACAAACCACGACCAACCCGAAGAGAAGGCATGCAAAGGTGAGCTGCCTGGGACTATCTAGGCGACATGCCCCCCACAGTTGTGGAATAGCACTGTCCAATGGGCAACCAATTCGATTTCGCACACGGAGTGAGTAGAAGCAATACACTGGTTAGCTACATCATTTCTAACGCACTTCTTACAAACTCAAACTCACAATGCTTTCTTCTCGACGGATCTGACCCCCCGGCCATCATCTTTTTCTACGATCTCCCAATATGCGTGGGCCCGTGTCACAAGACATCAGTTGCTTGTCCATTATTCCTACGAAAGCCAATTGTCAGGACTCGGTGTGCGCCTATTAGTATGATGAAGCCTTGCCGGTCGACAGATCTTCTTGTGTTTGGGACAGCCCAGATCCTACTATCTAATGACATGAGCCGAGCGGGCTGAAGGAGAAGCGAGGAGCTCGTTCACGAAGAGTAATCAGTGAATTGAATTCTGAATGGTTGTACCTGAAATGGATAGAGAAATCAACTTCGCACGTTTCATCGAATGAGATTAATCGCCTTTGGGTATGCACAAATAATGAGGGTCGGCGGCGGGCTGACCACCCTCTACACTGTTCAATTAATTATCAAACGGCCTCCGTGTAGTCTCTTGCATGGAGGGCCCATTTGGCATGGGTAATGCACCGTCAGATACTTAGTGATCACATACAATTAGGGCGTGACATTCGGGTAGACTAAGCTATCTACAGAGATTTATATCTCATCCTCATATTCCTGTCATCTTGTTCATAGGCTCTATCATAGAGCGACGAGTCGCGATGTGCCTGAACGATACAAACTGGCTGGAAAAGACTGGTGTGGTAATCCATGGCCCACACACGGTGGCAAAATGTCTTCGATATCACCTCAGTAGTCCAACATTCGAAAGATGGTGGCAGAATACAATATCATTGGTAGCCTTCAGCAAGGGATACATTTGTCTACACTCCCAGGAATATCCCAGCATCGGTGACACATGCATTGTTTTAGCTAATGCACGGCGTCCAAGCTGAATGCCCTCGCTCAGCTCGAGGAATTGGTAAACCCTTAACCCCTGCCCCAAGGAGACTGAAAGAATAGCACAGCACTAACAATGAGGTCTGCATTTCCCAGCCGGTCTCAATGGAGTCGTTTGAGCCACCCTGCTTCTCCTGCTGCTTTAGCTCTAGAGCGATTGCCACCCCGCAGAATAGTTACATATAATGGGCTTGGGGTAGGCTGATCTCCTGACTGGTAGAAGAATGCCCTCCCATGAAGATTCAGCTGCAGATAGCCAGGTCTTCCGCCACCATCCCTGGCTAAAGCAGATTTTTTACGGTAATGATTTACTGGTGTGAAGGGGAGGCGAAGCTACATGTTTCGAAATTTGCAAATACGCATCATACGCAGATATTGATAATATGATTTAGAATAAATCGAGCTAAGGCTCTCTGTTGGATGGCTCTATCACTATCCACTAAACAAATAGTAAGGGAGATTATGCATCGCCTTAGCTTTACCATCAAAATACTTTCTTAATGAACCTTTCAGCGGTCGGTGGTTCGAACTCAAGTACCCATTGTTACCTTTATCACTTTTTCATCCTCTACAAGGGCTGTTATAGGCCGCACTGAATCGCTCTCGGTCACCCTTTAGCTCCAGTATCTAAGCGGCTTCGTTCAGAGGTGACATGGTGCCTTGCTGACGACAATCACGCGGTGTAAACCTAGAGAGCTAGGAGTATAATTGAATACTGGATGTTTTATTTTCTTTGACTTTCTGCTAATAGATGCCTTCCTCTAGGCAACGAGGTGCGGCCTCATGACATCAGGAGTTGGCGCGAACAAGAACCATGGCCCGACAAGAGTTTTCCAAAGCATTGGCTTGTGTTTGCGATCAACCAATGAAGTTTTAGTGGCCATGATTGATTTTAACCAAAAGCGACTTAGTACTAGGTTCCAGGCCATTAGTTGTTGTATCCCTATAATTATTTTAACCTTTGTAATACAATCGTGGCTGTATAATGTCGCTCTCTACAAGCCTACGACAAAGCTTAAAGGATACCTTCAAAATTATTTGGAAATAATTCACAGTCGTTTCGAATAATAGCGGCGAGCCATGGCTCGCTTCCACTGCACTCCAACGCCATTGAAACCAATGTGCCGTTATGTGCTTCTAAAAGGTCCTTGGTTCTGGGAACCTGTTACAAAAGGCAGTTGAACTGTCGAGTCTACCTGTTGAGTCGAGATAGCGGCGTCTATCGTTCTCCATGCCTACAAGTGAGACACAAGGCAGAGCTGAAGGAGACGACTAAAAAAGCCAGTTCTAGACATCGGAATTACCTAACACCAACATTCGCCACATGCTACCCACCGGTACTCCATCCGTGATGACAACATCCCCACCTCGAGCTTGAAGAACAAAATAGTCCGCTGACATTTGGGGATGGTCTTCTCTTGTCTTTTCTCCAATGTCCTATCGTATAGCTACCTACAATCCAAAACCACCTGGGCATGGAGAGAGTTACAGTCGCAGACGCCAGAGAATTTGTCCTCTGTTTTGATGGCACAGGATATAAATTCCGAGGAGATGAAGCAGATAGTAATGTCCTCAAGGTTTACAGAGTAAGTCCGTGTGGTAGGAACTGGTTTCTTGGGGTGGTCCTTACACGAATAGAAGATGCTTGATCGCAATGACGCACATCAACTACACTATTATCAGCCGGGATTTGGGACGTTTACCACCTCAATTTGGCAGACCCATAATACCCACCAGAATCGGATCAAGAGATGGGTTTCGAATGCCAAAGATGCCGCAGTGGGCACGACATTTGACGAACACGTCATGGATGGCTACAGGTTCCTCATGCGCTTTTACCACCCCGGCGATGGGATTTACATCTTTGGTTTCAGTCGTGGCGCATACGTGGCGCGTATGCTTGCTGAAATGCTGGACCATATCGGCCTGTTAGAGGCAGGGAACGAAGGGAAGGTCCGCTATGTTTGGTCGATATTCTCTAAGTGGGCGAAATGTGCCAACATTGAGGACACCGACAAAAAAGAAAAAGACGATCGATATACGTACATGAAAGCGCTAAGGGAGACTTTCTGTCGCCCAGTATCACAGATCCGATTTCTCGGATTATTCGACACCGTCAACAGCATACCGCGATTTGAACTGAATCGTAATAAGTTTCTGTTTCCTTTCACAACAAAAACGTCAGCGAAAGTAATTCGGCATGCTGTCGCTATCGACGAGCACCGTGCTAAGTTTCGGCAGGATTTAATTTCAGATGCCAATCCAAACACACGGTCAACACGGCGCAAATGGCAGGGCCACCGGGAGCGACACGGGCATCTTCCGCAAGGGCGTTGTACCGGAGAGGCATTTTATCGGCCAGCCCCTCGTGTCCGTCCACAAACGGTGAACTCGGGTAACCAGCGAATAGACACTGAGACCCAAAAACCGATAGGAACGCCATACGATGCGGGAGGTCGCCCTTTAACGGAGAACGAGGATACCACCCAGGACATCCAGGAGGTGTGGTTTGCCGGATGCCATGCTGATATTGGCGGTGGATTAACTTTGGATAAAGAAGAAGACCTGGCGCTGAGCCATGTGCCGTTAGTATGGATGGTACAGGAGGCGCAGCGTGCGGGACTCCGATTTGATCCTGAAAAGATGAAGCTATTCCACTGCTTTGATGATTCGGCTGGCAGTGGTGGTCTCTCAGGCAATATAGACCACAGCACTGATAGACAAGACGCAGGCGACGAATGCGATTTTCAAACCTCCCTCTGGAAGGCCACTATACATGGACATATACACGACTTCTTACGGTACGGCCATGGTGTCCCATGGCCCACTGTTTTGACATGGAAAATAGTGGAATACCTTCCGTTTCGGAGGATGGCGCTGCAAAACGATGGATCGTGGAAACCGATTCGATGGCCTCTTCCCCTTGGGGAGCGACGTGATCTCCCTAAGCGGGCTCAGGTCCACGGATCAGTCATTCGCCGCATGGAAGCCAATCCAATGTATAGACCGGGGAATTTGCTCCAATATGGAAAAGGGAAGGACAAGAGTCCCTTAGAGGATGGGATTGGTGCCTGGGAGGTCCACGCTCATCCAGGCTGTTTAGTGCGAGAAACATACCACAGGAAGTTGTACGGAACCAACTAAACTACATTATGTGGCCTGCTATTCGCAGTAACACGTGAGTCATACGCTCTCCTGGAGTGGAAAACTACAAGAAGCGCAGGGCAAGGCGAGAAAAAAGGACAAAAACAGAAATAGCATAACGAAAATTGCCTGCCATCGAAGTCATGCTTAGGAATCAGGTCAATTATACCGATGTGCCCGCATTCCGGATTACACTGGCCTTGATAGCATGGATCTCACACCTTTCCACGAAGGCCGGCCCTTGCCCATCACACTGCACTTGCTCGCGCAAGTAGGCGCATACTTTCTCAAGATCCAGAGCGCCTTCTTGAAGCCGCGCTTGGTGATGGATGCATTCCCAAGTAGCACCCAAGTCTAAAAGTCGCTGCGCCGTATTCGGGTTAGTCGTGATGCGTGTGTAGGTCGCTCGTTATGGTCACCGGGTGCCACTGAATTTGCGAATGTTGTGTACGTCTATTCTGACGTAAAATCGTGATGACACCCGGCCGGCTTCAGCTCCAGTTCCTTAAGAGTATGGTTTTCCACCAGAGCTGTGGAGATCTCTTGCCGCTTTCTATCCTTTTCTTCACGGAGAGTTGATATATTTTCCTGTAGCTGGGTGAACCGTTCGTTGTGATCCCTGCTACGGTGCTCCTTATGTGCGCGAAAAACGCGCTGACTTTATGAATTTAAGAGTTTGCTAATCAGTCCTACCTCAGTTCTCTAGAGTGGCCTCCACCCTGGAATCATATCACCTACGCAGCTTGATTTTGTGCCTTCCACTTGTCGCTAGATGCAGTCGAGGATACGGCAGAGGAAAGCCTATCGTTGCCCTGACTTTGCAGGGGTACAGAAAGGATCTGGGAGTCTCCACATTGGACTGGACGCGCTACCAACCAATTGACCACTGACCCCTTGGGCAGGCAGGAAGGAGGCTAAGTCATGGTGGAATGGTTTCCTGCATCGAAACCAACTCCACTCATGAGCCGGTATCACTTTACAGCTCCAGTCCAAGACATTTACGAGTATCATCCAATGATCATTCGCCTCGGATTCAAAGACTTAAGGATTAGAGTCTGGTCCTTGGCCTTTGTAGTCATTTCCGAGGCCTACACACCTGAGCTTTTAGGACAACAAAGCAGCACGGTTATGTGTCCTCTCTAATCCCATCCTTCGCAACTCATATCCTTTTTCAAGGAATGTGGGGGCCAATAATTGCCAACAAACCCGGACAAGAGCGCGATGTCACTCTGATTCCTTGGCACTCAAACATGTGGAGAACGTGACCATAACACTCTGCATTATGTTAACCTGATGTCGTTGAAAGATATGATTTATATCCTCTTACACTTGAGATAACAAGGTGTATACTAATGTTGCCCTTGTTTAATCCCCCCCACAGAGAGAGTAGTGTTAGAACAAGGTCAACATTAGGGTCAACGCGAGGATAATCCCGGCTAGCCCTTCCACTTGACTAATTCGATATCCTGGTTGGTAAAGTCGGATATACCCACCTCTTGGTACAACTAGGGCATCCTTCTACCATAATACCACGGCCCCTGTTACTCTTTACACCTTCCATTTTGAGGTTCAGACCCTTGCTAAGATCCACCGCACCACCACGTAGGGCTGTGCAGTAGATGAAAATAGGCCTGGTGAAATCCGATCATGGACAATGTCTCTATATTGAGTGTAAACAGAGTAGATAAACTCTGTGACAAGGTTTTCTCGCCCATTCGATCGTACAGTCCACTGCAATGCATCCTCTACTCTTGAAATTAATTCTCTGTCTCGCCTTTATATCCTGGACGATTTGGTATGGCAAGACATACTTCTACCGCGACCCTGGGAGCATCTTCTATGATGAAGTCCACGCCTTTGAACAGCGATATTCCCAGCATCGCCGCAGCGAAGTGGACGCCTTCATACGGCTCCAAAATACAACACTAACGTCAGGACCACCCATCAAATCCGGCCCTAATCCCACTCTCTGCCTAGCCTTTAGCTCCGTCCGCCGTCAAACAAGTAACTATCTAGAAGTCCGTTGATTCTCATCATCCAACCCTACAACCCCAAAATTAAAAGCTAACCACCAAAGCAACCCCCAAAAAGACCTCAATAGCGAGCGCCCTCGCAACCCTGACCGCCCAAGAACGGCAAGACCTCCATGTGGCCATCCTCATCGCCGAACCAAACCCATTGAGCCACCCAAATTGGAATACCACCTGGCTCCGCACGGCTGCCGACACGTTCACCACCTACAACGCCAGCATAGCCGAGCTATCCCACCTCTCTCACCTCCAATCAACATCCAACTACGCCGAAAAGGGTATCATCGACTATACCCAGGCCCTGCAACTCTGTCACACAACCGGCGCCCCCTACATTGCCCTCTTTGAAGACGACATCCTCCTCGCAAACACATGGTTCATCCGCACCCTGCTCGGCCTCTCCCAAATCCCCCCCTCAAAAGCCGATTCATGGCTTTTCATGCGTCTCTTCAACCAAGAACGCTCAACGGGATGGGCGAGCCGAGCCGTGGGCGGAAATAACGAGCACTGGATTATTCTCGCCATCGCGGTTTCCATTTCGCTAATGGGGTATTTGGCCCGGCGCCAAAGTAGGATTGTCCGGTCGTGGGTCGATTGGGGCACGCTGGGGGTAGTGGTGCTCGTGCTGAATCCGGCGATGGTGGTACTGTTTTTCCAGGCGGGCAAGGCGTCGGTGTTGCCCCCTTCCCCTGGGGTTTTTGAGGAGCCATTTGGGTGTTGTTCGCAGGCGATGGTGTTTCCGACGGAGAGAGTAGCGGATATTGTTCGTTTTTTGCGGGACAGGGGCAGTGGGCAGGTGGATTTGTTGTTGAATCGGATGGCTGTTGAAATGGAATGGGGGAGGTGGGCGTTGTATCCGATCATGGCGCAGCATATTGGTAGGTCCCTCTTTTCTGTTTCTGGCTTTTCATTCGTTGGGAGTGCGGTTTGGCTGATTGTGGAGCAGGCCTTGAGTCGGCGAGGAAAACTGCGAAGGCTGAGGCGCAGGCGATCTGGAGTATGGCGTTTGAGGATTTAGATCCGGTGATGTTGGAGAGGGAGCATTCGAGGTTTGTTGAGGAGTATTATCGACGCCAGGTCGTATAGATTCATTAAATCTTTTACGCATTAACATAGAGTAGCCAGTGATGTTAGAGGTATCACTAGAAACTACTATGATTAAGTCAATACAATTACCACAGAGTAGTATGTCAAGGTCTCACAAAAGTCCTATGGTTGAGTTACGCATTGTTATATACGGTTGTGTGGAGTGTGACTTGAAAGAAAATGTGGTTTAATCCTCTCGTTATGCCAGTGAACAGAACATCAGTAACATTTTCTAGATGACTTCATCTTGCCCTAACTTCCTAGCCAACATAGCTTGTGGCCACTTCAGCTCTTAGGGGGGGGCCTTCGTACCATGCATTTCCCCTATAGAGTATAGTGCATCTGCGCAATCTCAGGGACATATTTCTTCAAGCTGCCAGTCTTAGTTCAACATCGCTGGTTCCAGGGTGGGGAATATCGGAGTGGATGAACGGGGTGTTTAGTATCAAAGGGGGCAGGCGCATAGAATCGGTCCCATCGAGATACCAATACATCTTATTTAAAATTTGCTATTATATGTACCGGGCAACCCCCAAATAACTTCAAGACAGCCTGGGTTTATGCAGTCTTTTCTTCCTGGCTCAAGCTGTTAGTGCAATATCTCTCGGCACTCCGATTCAGAATCCGCCCCCAGAGCAGTAAGACAAAAGTCTTGGCCGAAGGATGGAGACTGTGTGGGTCTACCGCACCAAGTTCCCACTGAGCAGGCAGTATCTGCGCTCTGCGACCCATCAAATCTCGCTAAAAGCTGACACAGGAACTTTTAACAGGGAATACTATCAAAAACAATGACGATATTGGGTTGACTCTGCCGGACGAATACGCCATTACTGCGAACAACAATAATTAATTATGTAACGAGGAAAAATGGCCCCTTGGCGGTTTGTACAGATTTACCCACGGCGAATAAGCAACCGTGCCTGACTTGGAGGCTTGTCCGACGAACTTTAGTAGCTGAGAGAGACCCATCTATATCAAGGCCGGAATTCGGGATATGTCTCACCTAGTCCTGCAACTGGGGCTTTCTTTCTAAGCCTTCATCGTCTGGCTTGTCGGTTTTGCGGATTTTGAACTGACTACTTGGTTAGTGCACAGTTAGCCCTCCAGAGCAACATAACCGAACATTCGGTGGGCTGCACAGAAAGCTATAAAGCCGTGTGAGTGTCTAGAAAATGTCGATTGTCATGCTCAATCGTCTCAATCTTCTGCGATACCTAGACCTGGGATAATGAAAGCCTTCCATTACATCTGGTTCTTGGCCGCCGGCATTCTGGCTCGGGTTCGTTTCATATTTTGTCCATCATATCTATTATCTTCCCCTAGTCTCTTCTAACCAATTACCAGGCCCAACCCGACGAATCCCCAATTGAGGGATATACTATTGAGGAATTCTCGTGGGAAGTCGAGACAACGCCCGGCGGCTCAACAGTCGTCCTGAACGGCACAGTCGAGCAAGTCCTCTCTCAGCTGCGCGACATCAACCCCAACTACGACGCCGAGTTTGCCATCCCCGCCGATGAAGTTGAACAGCCTATGGAGGAGGAAGACACTTCCTTACACCTGACGAAGCGCGGCGACGTTAAATGCGGCGGCTATCCGAAGGCTAGACGGGTCCACATTGAAAAGGGTATCAAGTACCTGAGGGGTGTTCCTGGCAAGCCCCAGAGAGGACCCGGCCCCGGCAGCTGCGGCCAGGTCAGCTGCTCCTGGTCTTCGGCTATTTGGTGGTGTAATGATGTAGGTTTCTTAACAAAATCTGCTTTCCTTCTATCCTGGTGTGATGTATACTGACGGGAATCAAAGAACACTTTTACCAAGGTGCTACCCAGCTTCAACAATATTGCAGACGGGGCGCAACTTATTAAGAATACTTGTCTTCATGGTGGCCAGATGTTTTCGGGTCAAGATTCCCATAATGATAAGTGGAGTACTATTGTTCGTTGGCACAAGTGTTAGTTAGCGGAGAGTGCGTGCCTTGGTGGATTTTCTATGATGTATCATGGATATTGCTGATTTCTAAAATTCTATGCTTTACCTTTATGGACTAGAGAGTTGCTTTAGCTTCTAATGTCTGGGTGGTGTGGGCTTAACAGCGAGGAGAAGGTTGTTAATGGAAATCACCTATTGTCGGTAGATAGAGCTTCTCATGTAGTGCTATCACTGCTCGCAGGGCGTTTCTCTCTCCAGTTAACTATAAGCTTATCATTACGACCCACGGCCGAAGGCATTCTGGCCTGTTATGCGGCCTGAAAGTTGCTCGGTGAATAAATAACTGCAGGGTTTGATTTGAAGCACCGGAAGGGGGACAAGATGTATTTAAAGCGCCCTGGCAAGCCTAAGCCCTGCCCCCTAGTACAGCGCACTATTGCGGCCACTCCGTAACAACGGATCTTATCAATTTCTGCCGGAAGAACTAATAACTATAGACTTGCTTAGTTTTATTATCAATTAGACTATTATATCACACCCGGAGCTTTGTCGTCAAGTCTTAAACCAGTAAGCTAACCGCGTGTAAAAATTCTTGCCTACAGTCGATACAAAACTACCGTCTATAGAGAAATACAGTTAGCACAAAATTACTGTTGATACAGGACTCGAGTCCAAAGAAACAGGCCTACTAAGTATATATAATCAGTAATTAGAAGAATATAAACAAGTTCTGACTGATTTACTAGCAAAGATAACTCTGTAATAATAATATTAACTGATTATAAAGGACTAAACTAGGTATATAAATAGTTATCTTGGCGGAACAAAGAAATAATGAGAGAAGACCGCCGTTGTTACTTTTCGAGTGAGAATAGAAAGATTTAGCTTATCCAACGCCGGGTGTCATCGTTGATAAGTGCACGCATAGTTTTGAAAAGACCAGTTGAATTTGTGTACTTTTCGCTGTATGTCAACGTCAATTCGTGATTGAAGTCTGCGGGGTTTTTGCCCTGGGTATGCTGCAGAATCGTTTCCAATTTGTCCATCGCCATCAAGGAAAACCGCCATGAATGCTCGGCTGTGCTCTTGTTCCGACCGTTAGATGTATGAGAACTCCGCAGAACATTGTCCAACTGCTCGGCTTCACGCAGAAAGGCGTTCAGACCACCGGCGACAAGGCGGTGGGTGGTCGGAACGCCACTAATATATCGAGAAGATTCTATATTTCAATTTTTTTTGTTATAATAATAACTGGCGAGTAGACTTTTTTATCTAGCTAGCAGAAGCCAGCTCTCCTGTTTTACCTGAGATTTTGATAATTTACGTATTTTTGGTGGTAATGATCTGTTGTTGGCTGGATATTAGTGTCTCCGAGAGAAGATTTGAAACTAGACTGACGAAATGATCGACTTACGATATGATGAATCTTATTTATTCTCAGCACCCTATCTGGTATTTCTATATATGCGACTGAATACAAGTTACCCATGATATTGGAGAAGTTTGACTTTTTGCAAACTTCTCACACTTGGAACAAGCTGGATCCAGAATACAAGGTGTACTTGATTTCATTCTTGAAACTGGCGAGCTTTTAAAAACACCATATTGCCAGGTGTGTTGCGGTCTTGTAGACGAGGCCCCGTTTGATGGAAGCAAATAGCGTGGCCAGTTCAGCCACCAGGACCAACATTAGAGTAGTCTTAGAATCATGGCAGCGTCATTGCAGACCTCATGAGCAACCGGCAGGTCTCGCGTGTGCTGTATAGATAGTGTGTAAAACAGTAGAGCTAGACCTAAATGAGTAAGCTGAGCGAGAAACCTGCAATGTGGGTGATCGTAACCATTCCACTGCACAAATATCCTCGGGTATAGTTGAATCATATTACCTATTGTGTCTTGACGAAGGTCGAGAAATTAGTCTTTGTTTTGGGGACATGACGTCTTCAGGCTCAGGCAAAAGTGAGTGGCGTGGCCTCCCCCTCCCCTAGCGTCGTATCACTAGGCAGATTAGAATGTCGTGGCCCATATCGCCTAAAGTATCATAGCGCAATACCACTTGTTGTGATTATCACCAGGATTATGTTGATATAATCAAGATGGTTCGAGATATTCCGAGGTTTATCGACACAGACTTACATCAACTGCAACCATGAATATGAAACCATGGCCTTATCCTGTGCAGAATGGATTCTGTTGCCATGTAGTGCAAGGCATATACATCTGTCTTGCCGAGGATAGATGGTTACTATTAATACTACGTTTCTGACCTTCACATGCTATGAATCTGTGAGTAGAATTCTTATAAAGCCTGTGTGGTTGCCATGAGATAGAGGGGGATATGGCCAGGATTTTAAATACAATTCCTGTCATACAGCTCGGTTGTTCGCCATGATGAGGCTACAATCACGCAGTCAAATTGACTCTATGAAATCTTCATGGCGCTCGTGGGATCGTCGGCGGTGGAACGCGGGTCACTGGCTTATTGAAATACTTGCAGTTCATCCTATCTCTTTTGATAAAAGACTTCCTGTGCATCCGAAGACTGCAAAGGTTCCTTACGCATCTCAGTGGCGGTTTAACGTCTGGGTCCTCATCCACGCTATTATACCTCTCGTTATTCATGAGACCTTCTCCCTCTACTTCAGCCACCAATTTTCGCCGCTTGTTGCTGGCATATTCTATAGCCTATCGTTGCAAGCAATTGGGGTCCATGAACTACACATGCTTCGCCAGGTTGGACACACACATGGATATTTCGACGGTGACACCCACGATCGTGATGGGGTTCCTGATACTGGGGTATGGAGAACCGTCTGGTCCCTACTATCTGGTGCCACCCTGCGTCCACTGATGTTAGTGACACTCGCCTACCAAGTAGACCAAGGACCGTTGTCAATTCGTTGGGGTTGGCTACTTTTGGAAACTGGTCTATATGCCATCGTTCTCGACTTTTGGTTCTACTGGTATCATCGTCTGATGCATGAGAGTCATTATCTGTGGAAATTCCATCGCACTCATCATCTCATAAAACACCCAATTCCACTGTTGTCAGCTTATGCAGATCTAGAGCAGGAGTTTTTTGATGTTGTTGGCATCCCACTTATGACCTACGGGTCATTAAAGCTTCTTTGCCTGCCAATGGGATTTTATGAATGGTGGATATGTCAGCAGTACATTATTTTTACCGAAGCACTCGGCCATAGTGGTCTGCGAATTAAGGCAATTGCGGCCAACCCATGGAGTTGGCTGTTCAGTATGATGGGGGTGGAACTTGTCATAGAAGATCACGACCTTCATCACCGCAGGGGTTGGAGAAAAAGTCACAATTACGGCAAACAAACACGAATATGGGACAAACTCTTTGGCACTACGTACCCTCGTGTAGAGGGGTATGAGGGGAACATTGACTACGACAACCCTGCAAAAATCCCTCTCCTCTGAAGTGGTGTTGTGACAACGAGGCACCTTGCAGAGCTCTTGACGGTTGTGCAGGGTCCTGAGGATGACAACAGGAGAAGCCATGTAACTTAATTGGAATACACTACAATATTAACATCTAGATAATATGGCTCTTACATATAAAATATTCTTCAAGGAAATGAAGGACTCAGGATCACGTCGCTTTTCATTTTCTTCACTTGTGTCTATGTTATTATAAGGTAGATGTCACTGCTGCCCACGCTGGGGGTATATAACCATTCCTCCCACCCTCAAAGTTGCCTTGCTCAGACGGTCATGATTTCTCTCACATTTTTGAGGTTCGACCTTTATATCCAATTCGCCAAGACCTGGTTATTTGCAACCTATCAAGCCGCGTTCATCATCAGTACCCTAGAGTCCACAGGGCTTTGTGCGTAGTATATGTGAAACAATTGGCATTAAATTGTGTCTTCGGTTTCATACCACCAACAATATCAAAGTACCAAATTCTCAAAAATTCCAATGCTGCGCGGAAGGTAGCGACTACTATTGGTGCCAATATGGACATGCCAGGAGTCTGTCTATTAAAATTTTAGATAGCCTAGTTAACTATTAATCTCTCTTTAAGCCATAGATGCTAAGGCCTGGCCTTCCGCATTAAATGCTGTCAGTGTCTTAATCTTTGAAACAAACTTAGAGTGGATGGCAATGAGATACATCTTTACTCTATAATAGCTTCGATCTATCTCGGGGTTAAGAAGCAAAGGCCAGTAAAGCAAGTAACTGAGAAGTATGACCTAGCATCTCTGTACTCTTCAGCTATCAATATACTCACCTAGTGCTGGATTCCACGCATAGTGACAATTACTGTCGCTGTTATATTTGTTACATCCTCCTCAATAATAGTACGTGTCAGTTTCTTTGCACGGTCTTCAACCGTGCGACTATTTGGACTAGTCGAAGTTATTATAATACTATCGGTAGTAAGGCCAGGTTGAAAAGAAAAAGCAATCAACACTCATAGTTAATCAGAATCTAGTTTCTTGCTATCGGGTTCAGCATCTGTGCTATTTCCTGTGTCGTGCATGGGGGCGGCAAAAGCATGTCCTGGTTGACGCAGAACCAGGGTAATCTGTGAGTGGCCTTATTGGTAGGGATATCGAGCGTACATGTATCCTGATTTCGAGTTCAAATGATCTAATTCATGCAGTTTTAGTAGCTTGGTCAGCTTCTCTACGTCTTTATAACTATAGGCGTCGAGATATCGATTGCAATGTCCCTATGGAGGGTCGCCGTCGATTGTCTTCACGTTTTCGTTTTATATACCATTAGTGGCGTAATGACTGCCGTTAGTCTGCTAGCCTTCTTTGTAACCGTTTTCTATTGCCGTCCGATTCTTTACGTCTGGAACCGGACGATCGTCCGCGGCGGGTGCCTTGCGTCATCGGCGTGGTTGGGTATTCTGTACACGTCCAACGCAGTCGCTGCGGTCGTTGATTTCACCATTGGTATTTTGGCTGGTTCATGGTTTGGAATTGCAAATGGCCAAGCGAAGAAAAGTCGGCTAGCGGTCATTATCGGGCTGCGTTCCATGCTCGTCCTCCATCTCTATTTGAAGTGTGCGACCTGTTAACACAGATAGTGCGGGTTCCACAGCCATTGCCCATATCCCATTATCAAGGAATATACGAATACAGATTTATTAGAAGCTGCAAGTTCGCTATACATTTTGTGAAGTATTGAATACGGCCTTGGCATTATTGCTGGCAGCACTCCAACTTTATGCCCACTTGGTCGTAAGTTTGGCGAGCAGTCAGGCTACCAGGAGCACAACAGCACAAGCTTAATCTTGCGACTTCAGGAGAACAGCACATCACATTTCCCTCACGACCTTGAAATGGATGAGAATCTAGCATCAGTTAATATGTCATCGACGTCGTCACGCTCGAGAAGCGTGGGCAGTCTTAGGATGCTATGCCACGAAGTAGTGGCCAAAATACAGTATAGGAGTCGGCAGGCAAACAGCATGGGTTCGGTAATCAACCCCATAACATGTCTAATAGAACCCTAATATTGATCCACTACCTCAAATAGGATTAAAACTCTTGTTTTGCTCACAAGGCCATTCCACCAATACGCGCAATTATCGACCAGATGCCACATAGCAGGAACACCAACGTATAACTACTGGTAGATAGTTATAAGTTTGTCCTGGTCTGCGCTTTTCTCAGGACATTTTCAATTTTTGTAGCCTTCAAAATATTCCCTCTTATCTTCAGCTTCCCTTTCATGAACAATTTCTGTGTGCTGGTCTTCCCCTCGAACAGGGTAGCAAAGTCGTCATCGGAGAGGTAAAGAGAAACTGTTTTATGCTCATCCCGTCAGTGCTGGTCTCATATATTGAGTTGGATTTTTAATATAGAATCTGACGCGAATATAGTATACTGACCATCAGGCTTTTGGCCGGAAGGTGCACTACCTCTACCCACAATACCATGGTCCTTGAGATCAAGGTGCCAGGTCTCCTCTTTTTCACTGGAACCCTTGACAGTAAAGGCCACCACAGCCCTCACGCTCCGGATCACACCTTTGCGCTCGGTCGGGTTTGCCCGTAGGGAATCACTGATGACATCGAATGCAGCTGAGGAACGAAACCCATCTAACAGTGAGATCAACAGTCAGCTGTCTGACAGCCCAAGAGCATAAGAGGGGAATTCACACCAACTTTGAATGCCATTGTAGAAGCTGAGTTATCAGGACGGCAAAAGAAAGAAAGCGTGTAGTCTGGAGGGCGAGAATGAAACTAGATATATAAGGATGCTGTCCAAGGTTTCCGAGGTACGTTGAAGGACATGGTCCACGAGTATGCCTCAGCCGAGGCAAGGTAGTTTGTGCCCCGAAAATGATAGATAGATTTGTAATAAGGCTGGGCTTAACATGCAGGAACTTAGTTCACAAGACTGCAGGCTCTGATGATCCATCTTGGTGATTTCCTAACGCTCGAACTGATGCTGAATAATCATTTCTCCTGGCCCTCAATTCATTACCCATAGCATTGTTCCGCGCCCTCCCCCTTTTCTTTTTGCAGCCATTGCATCTAGTAAGTTGTCATTGAGTGTATGAAAATGATTTATGCCATTGCGGGAGAAGGAATACGATCTGTCTAGTCAAATTCTAGTAATAGCATGTAGTGAAAAACATATAGAGCTACAACTAGTACATCAGTCTGCATATGATATTTGTGAGATCTGACGCTATCAGGTGGAAGTATATATATGGAATGTTGTAGTGTGCTGTTGACTAGAGCCTAGAGTTATCTAACGCCACCCTCTGACGCATAACATATTTCTCGATATCATGTATGATATCGGCCGCGCTTTTGACCTGATGCACAAGTCCAATTGAGGCACCCGCATAGGTGCATCTCCTGCTGCTGCAGCTTCATCGTGATGTTCCTTGAGCTCTTGAAAAGACTTGCCAGCCTGGTGCTCGATCCAAGTCCGGTTAATTATTCCTCTAGGAATGTATGGCTCAGGCCACCCAGTTGTACCTGGGAGATGGTTATATAGTAGCGTGCGTACAGTGTTAACGCCCCCGTTAGTTGCCCTGATCACTTCCTGCTGATAGTCCTGGCTGATCCTCACTTCTGTGGAAGCGAGAATTCTTGTACCCATAGCAACTTCCGTAGCACCAAGGCATAACGCGGCGGACACTCCTCGGCCGTCTGTGATGCCACCTGAAGCAACTATCTTAATGCCACTGCCCTCTACCATGTCTACGACCTCTGGCAATATCGTGATCAACCCGATTGCGTCCCGGTGCCCATGGCTACCCGCCTCTAGGCCCTGGACAACAAGTACATCCGGCCGATAGGAGCGTTGGAGGAGTCCTTGGACTTCATCGACGGTACCGATCTGAATCCATATTTGGGTACTAGGCGACACAGAACGAATTCGAACGGTCCACGCTTCCAAATCAGAGGCGTGCTTCGGGGCATATAGCCAAACCGCGCATGGCTTTAATCTTCCTATTGCGCCTGCTGCCTCGTCGATGTCATCATTTCAACGTTGAAATCCGACACCAACAGGAAGAAGGTCGTATGCCGATGGCAAATGCGAAAGCCTCGAAGTATGGGAAGAATGTGCAGAGTGAACTCGGTGGGATGCCTCGTCAAGGTCCTGGACAGTATCTAGGGTTTTTGCCCCAGGCCCAATGAACCCTAGCCCTCCTGCTTCAGAGATTGCTGTCGTTAGGGCCGGGCCGGAGAGTATACGCATTAGGGCGCCGATAATAAAACTTTTTGTAGATATCCAGGGAAAGATGGCGGTAAACTCTTCAATGGATGCCATTGTGAATGAAGCACGATTATAGACAAATCAGGTATTTTAATGGCATATATGATACTAATATCTCTCACTATTCCAGGGACGGCAATGTATCCAGACGATGTGTTTATATGGGGCACTACTCTCGCCATTTCGTCGCAGTGATAGAATACACTAAGTAGGCCCACAGTTTCAAACTCGGCAAAACAGACGCGTAGGAGCATATGAAGACGGCAGGCTGTCAGTCACAAAGTGGATTTCATCATGTTGACGAGTTGTTCGCAAGGACTCGCAAGAATTCACGAATCGGGAAATCCTAGGGCTATTAAAGTGCCGAGTCGGGAGGATTTATAAGCCCGATTGTTCCACACCGCCGTCATACCCACCACTCATAGCTTTGCAAGCCCCATTGCTTTTGTTGCCGCTAACTTAATTGAGTTTTTTCTTTGTCACAGATTTGGCTTAGTTAACTAGTTCGTCAACTCTATTCTGGCATACACTAACGGTTGCTGCTTCTATAGCCAACTAGATATGAAGGACATAGCTATCATATCCGCGGTAAATGAATTTGGGGTTTGTTGAATATCGCTAGTTTCGGCCAGGATAGTTCTACTAGAATCATAAATGTATTTATTGATACCACCTAATACTGATTTGTTCCCTGTGGAGCCAGGTCGACCTCGCGTTTTGAGCTATACAGGATACAAGTAGAAAAGTTCCTATTTTCTTAAGATTGCCGAGGTCTCTGGAATAGTACATCAGAGGTTTACAGCCTTAGACTTGAATCTTCCTACAAGCCCAGAATGCTGAGACAAGTATTCCCTCTATATTGTTACGCATAAATGGGGAAGGGTGTATATAGTAGTCCTAGGAAAGGACTGCAAAGACCAAAGACCAGACCGCACCAGACCGCACCATAGTGCAGTCCAGTTCTCAGATTTAGGGATTATGTACAGTCCTAATTTATCTAGGACCGAATTACGGTCTAGTCCGGTCCTATAATTCTCTAGATAAGATAAATAGATCTAATTGTATAATATATATTAGCTAGATTAATTATTTAGAGTTATAATTAAATATCTAATATACATAGAAAAGTTTATAACTTTTTTTAATTTATATATAATATTTATTCTATTAAAAAGAGAAAATTTTACTAAAAATATATAAAAATAGTCCCCAGCGGGGGACTGCCAAGATAGTACCGGGGAACCATAGTACAGTTCTAGACCTATAAAAAAAAGACCAAGGACCGGCGGTCCCGGTCTCGGTCCCAACTTTAGGGACCGGGACCGTACCATTCCTAGCCCTAGTATATAGTATTCTTTCTCGTTAGTTGCTAAATTGTGTTGTGAATAACCCGTTGCGTGAGTGACGACTTCTCGAGCCCGTCGCAGGCTATAATCGTGCCATTTCTATCTCTGTGGACGCAACAATCCGGCAACTTCATGGTTCCTGGGTCAATGTAAGTCATATAGGGTTATTTATAGTGGTTCAGCACTAATGCCATCCTCGGCTAGAACAGGTAATGGTCAGATTCTCTAGAAGAGATACTGAAATTGGTAAGAGGAGCTACCACCTACCGAATGATAAGCGTATGCCAGGGGTACCGTAATATGCGTTAACACAGGCGCCTCACCTTTTAGTAAGGCATCGGCTGGTTGTTGCGAAAGGTCATTAGCGCGGCAACAACGTACCCTAACATTTAGTTCATACACCAAAGTCGACTCGACAGCCCCTGATCGCGCCATACACTTAAGTACCACCTAAAAATTAACAAAGTGTATTCCAGGAACTAGGGAAATATGGATTCTGGATTGGAGACTAACGCAGCATAATGATCATATATTTGGGAATACGATTATCCACAGGGAAAAAATCAATGGGGCTAAGGATGAAGCTGGAGTTGTCACGCCTGACCTTCAGCTCCAGGCTTGGACTGCATGCGAGCAAGGGTAAGTGAAATAGAAAGATTTCTTAAAGGTGGTCACCCAATTATCGAAAATCATCAATCAGGTGGCCCATACATGCATGACTTGATCTGCAGTCAGAACCAAGGCTGGGCAGCAGAGCAAGATCCTTTCCAAAGCTCTGAAAGGTGGAATCACACTCACTTCACGTTATGGATAGGTATGGTGTCTTGAGAAAGTATATAACTTTGGATGCTTTGCAATACGTGGTTCGTTTGCCATAGCGCTCTTCGTCTATGAATATGTGGCTTAGTTACACTGTCGAATGTCAGCAAAGCAGGAGAAAGATCTGAGGATGTACTTTATTCATTCTACATTTCCGTCTTACTCATAAACGCCTGTGAGTGGAATGTTATATCTTATTTTCTCAATCCATGCCTCCTTCCGTCGTAATGTCACCCTGAGTTAGCTCAGGTCCAACTTAACTACGGCTTCGCTGCGCAATTTTTTTTTTTTGCTCATTTTTATCTTATACATAAAATGAAATTTACTTCAGAACCTAACCCGAGATAAAACTCAATTATCTAGCGTGGTACAGATACGTGAAGCAACAATGAGATTTCTAGCCACCCGACCGTCTAGTATAATTGTAATTTGTTAAAGCTACCGAACATCAATGAACAAGGATGGCCTCAGTCTGAGTACTTCCCAGTCCGGGACAGCATATCTCAGGAGGAACATAGGCTTTGAAATTATCACAGGTTTGCCCAAGGTTGGTAATTCTGATCCTCGAGCAAACTCTGGTACTGTCGCTGCCGGATTCCCACATTACCACCATCAAAGAGAGGCAGACAAGCCGCATCATTCAGCAACCGTCCAAAGGCATGGTTACTGGCATATGAGGTTCTATAGGGCGAGTTGATGCGTTAGTTATGTGTGTGCGGTGCCAAAGTACGAAAAGATAAGAACTCACATTCCAACTACTTTCATCGCGCTCACAACACATTTAACGGCGTTTTCTGAGCTGAAGATTTTCGCCTGTAGACATGCTTCGAGAACCGCGGCTTCATCCCCGGGCCCATTCTGCACGCTATCGAGCGCTTTCCACGTGAGTAAACGTGAAGCGTCCAGCTTGATTTTTGTTTTAATAAGCAAATCTGCAACGCTCTGCCGCTGTATAATTGGAACAAGCCCGCCGCGGTTATTTGTTTTTGCAAACCGCAGAGCCTTTTCAAAGGCGGCTCGCATAATTCCAACAGCCATTCCGCCGACCATAGCTGCAGATACCCCAAAACTCTGCTTAACAATATCAACTGCTGAATCTGGGGACGCTAGAAGATTTTCCATAGGGACCTTGAAGTTGGTAAAGCGTGTATGAGGGCCCGATACCGCCGGATGTCCAACCAATTCTGGTTCGTCCAGCACGATATACGAAGAAGGACCATTCAGTGCGACATTCTCCCGAGTGACAATCAAAATGACAACCGAGGATCGTAAGTCACGGGCTGGTGAAGACTCAGGGCCACCTTCACAGTATCTGCATACGACACACTGCAGGTCTGCTCCTTTGCGGTCCCATCCCGCACTATTGGTCGTCCACAACTAGACAAACTCTCAGTTTTCCCTCGTATTCATGAATGGGTAAGTGCGTTTGATCTCTTACCTTTTCCCCATTAATTATCCACTGTCCATCCTTCTCATAGGCTGTTGTCTGTAGGCCGTTTCCTCCACTCTCCAGCCAATTAGCAGTTCCCCCTGGCTCTGAGTGAACGAGGCTGGCCAAGGGTTCTCCGTCCCCACTCAAAAAAGGAGGCAGGAACCGGTTCCAAAGGTCTGGGTTCCCCGCAATAATGAGAGGAGCCAGTCCGAGGCCAGTCGCTGCAATTGTCAGGGAGACACTAGCGTCCACGGCATAGTGCTCCTCGAGCTGAAGAGCAGTACTCACAAAGCTGCCGCCAGTGCCCCCCGCTGGAATAGGGATTTGAGCTCGGATTTGACCCGCGGCCACTGCCTTTTGATATAGCGGCCTGGTTGAGCGAAACCGTTCCTCCTGGGTGCCAAATTTCAGGTACTCTGCCGGTGCACCAAGGAGGACCTCTTTTGCAAACTTTCGTGCATCCTCCCTAACTTGTTGTTGATCTTCAGTCAAAGTAAAGCCTGTCATTGTATGTTTTAAAGATTGGAAACAATTTCTCAACGATGAATGGAAAGCTGAAGAGCTCTTGCTGCTTAGAGGCCAGAGCACGTCTTATATAGCACTGTCAAATTTCTTACACATGAAATTGGGGACTTCCCTAACTGCAACAACCCTCGGCATCGCCAACTGATTTGCTTCTCCTCTTCCCTATAGTATGTGGGGGTTGACGTTGACTTCCCCCAGGCTTCCCCCACCCACCCCAACAACGTGGCACCTCTCGAACATTTCATTACCTGGTTAAAAGTGTTCTTGCGGCTGGACATTCTCGCCATCCTCGGCAAGACCCAGGGTTGAGTATTGCGTCACCTGGGGGTGATAGGACACCCAGTACACCCAACACTGTAAAGCTCGCAAGGAAACCCATACTTGGTGCTTGCGACCAATTGCCAAGACCCGTCGTCTTGTGAGAAGTTAGCCTGAGCGTTTATCCATGGTAGCCGTCGATCCTGCGCTGTCGCCCTGTCACCCATCCCAGGCCGCTCGGGCAGTTATTCCCCCGCTCTCTGGGATGATGGGTTTGGAACCTGGAGAAGATATCCAGGAAACAGTGGGACTCGTCGTAGAGGCGCAGACCCTGTCCCTGAAGAATTTCGAGAGTACTCCGTAGTAAACACCTTCTTAACACAGAAAGGGCTTGTCTATTAACCAGGCTATAAATACTATACCCACAAATTGCTTGCTGCACAGCCAATATTCCTTCTGTATTCCCTCCAGCTAAACTCGGGCAAACACCAATATCTGATTCTGATTCTGGTGAGATTCGGTCGAACAAGTGGCCCGTGTCCTGCAGCCCGATTAGGAAGCCGGCAGATAGATCACGTGATACGGTAGAACCACAGGGCCGGCTCGCAAGAACGACCGATTTGGGAATGTAGGAGAGTTGCCGTCGCCAAGACTATAATTATAAATACTTTGACTTCGCCATGATGTGTAAATATTGATCAATTATAAACTATCACTCTTGCTATGACCATGCCCTCTCCTTTGAACAACCCCGTAAACCTCCCTTGTGGCGTGGTCTTCCCAAACCGCATCGTCAAGGTATCACCAAAGGAATTCCAAATTTGCCAATGAACAATATCTGATCCTTTTTTGGCAGGCATCAATGGCCGAGATGATGTGTGGGCAGGGGAATCTGCCAAACGATGATCTTGCTGAAGCGTATAATCAATGGGGCCGAGGTGGGTGGGGAGCTGTTCTCACCGGTATGTTGTAGCCCTGCAATGTGTCAAAAGCGACATCCATTATGCGTGCATACCTAGAGCTAGGCATTTATTTCTGTTACTAGGCAATGTTCAAGTCGACGTTAATCATCTTGGAACACCATATGATCCTGCTGTTCACGGAAGCTACACTGGCGAAGAAAACGGTAAAGAGTTGCTACCAGCTTGGAAATCATATGCAAAAGCTTGCACCCAGCATGGCACCCCGTGTATTGTGCAAATCAATCATCCAGGGCGGCAGTCATTGCGGCTTGCAGGAAAGCGTGGCATATGTGGCTCAACTATTGCTCCGAGTTCGGTTCCTCTAGTGATCGATGACAATTTTTATGGGAGGCTCATCAGCCGGATTACGTTTCCACATCCGCGAGAAATGATGCAGGAAGATATTGATACTGTCACGGCTCAGTTCGTTGATACCGCGCGCCTTATGGCTGATAGCGGGTTCACTGGTGTTCAGTTGCATGGTGCTCACGGATACCTGATTGGTATGCTCCTTTCCCACTTCATCGCACGATCAATTGTTAACCTGAATGGCTAGATCAATTTCTGAATCCAACGGTATACTCACCCCCATTTCCACTCTCCATTTGTTAAAATATATTTAACTAATGCCGTGGAATACGAAGACCAATATGCGAACCGATTCTTACGGCGGCTCCCCGTCCAAGCGCGCCAAGTTTGCTTTGGGCATCATTTCGAGTGTCCGAGCAGCTGTCCCTGCAAATTTCTGTGTTGGCATGAAACTCAACTCCGCAGACCACAGCTCCGATACCTTTGAAGATACCATGGCCCAGATCGGTCTCTTTGTCGAGGCTGGTATCGACTTCCTCGAAGTAAGCGGAGGAAGCTATACAAATCCCGAAGTAGGTGCAAGTCTCCACCCATGTGCATACACATGTATAGAAAAAATGCTACATGGGATAGTCCAGTTTAGCCATGGCAGCAACTGATTTGTGTTGTTCTTTTATACAGATGATGAACACACATAATACCGTTCAGGAAAAAAAGTCCTCTCGGAGCGTCGCTCGAGAGGCATTCTTCCTGGAATTCGCCACCGAAACAAGAAAGCGATACCCAAACCTCGTTCTAATGTTGACTGGCGGCTTTCGCACACGTGGTGGAGCGGAATATGCTATCGAACATGGCGCTTGTGATCTGATAGGAGTTGCACGTCCCGCGGCTATCAACCCGAGCTTTCCAAAGTTACTGCTTAACGAGAGCGTCGCGGATGAAGACGCAAAACTGCAATTGAAGAGGGTACCCCCTCCATTTTACGCTAGATGCGTTCCAGGAAAGGCTGTGGGCATGGGTTTGGAAACGGTAGGTTTCTCCTCATACCCTTTGGTTTGTGTTGATTGCACATCAGTCCTAATCGGCGTATGTAGGCGTACTACTCCAACCAAATTAAGAGGATATCGAAAGGGTTGAAGACCATTCCGCCTTCCTCGTAGTGTTACTGTATTGGATTTGTGAAAGCGGTATATATATTTACTCGGTATCTCTATTAATATGGCTACTTATAGATTACCCTAATTCTATATAAATCAGAATATACTTTTACCGCCCCTATAGATAATATAAAAAATAGTGCAGATACTGAATCGGATAGCAGAAAACTAGTTTAACTTCACACGGTAGACCACCTGGTTTCAAGCCAAACGAAATAATCTTTCAAAAATTATCCAACAAACAAACACAATGACAGAGTTAGACAACTTGGTTCAAAATCATTTGTTTTTGAAAAACAAGATACTCGATTCGGAACAGAAACTCAGACATAGTAGATTTCATTATGGCTACAGTTGGCAACATAAAAATGTGCCAATGCGAAGCTTCCCCTATAGACCATCCTTTCCGACAAAGTCTTTCCGCCATAGAGCAGAGAGCTTGCTCTATCGTCCAACATATTCGAACCCATGAGCTTGCCACTATCTGGTCACCTGACTCAAATGATGGATATCCAGGCTTATTTCCCGGCATCGCATTTGACCTTGCAAAAGATACCATCCAGAAGACGGAGTTGCGGCGTATCGTCAAACAACTACCGAAAGGTGCCTTGCTTCATGCTCATAGCGATGGCAGGGTGGATAGTACGTGGCCCTAACGCTCTTGGAACGAACATTTTTAACATTGAAAGTGCAATGGCTCATCTGCTCTCAACAGGCCGGGCAGACACATCAAGTCAGACATTCCTCTTGCATCCCCGCATAAATTCAAGGAGGACATGATTGAGCTTGAATACGTTCCTGCACTGTCATCAACGCCACTGTCCGAACTATTCTCTCAGTCTTAGCGACAAAGTATCAATTAATGTAACCGATAAGCCGCTGGGTCTTGTAAGCCGCTGGATCAGCCCCACGCGTTTTTCGCGCCTCCTAGAATTGAAGCTATTGAAAAAACTGAAAAATCTATATTTCTATAGAAAATTTAAATAGTCTAATAATTAGGACAATAAGTAATTTTATATCTTAAAATACTGTAACTAGAGCACTTTAGTAGAGTATATATATATTGATTTTCTACCGGAGTATCTATATCTACTGAGATAGTAGTTATAGACTATAGTAGAATTTCTGTCTTATATAAATTTCTGAGTTTTTTAAACTAAAATATCTGATTTTATAGATAGCTGTCTAGTAGAGTATTTTTTCATTTTAAATATTTTTTTATACACGGTGTATAGTTCTCCGCTTTTCTATTTTATAATAATCTCAGTAAATAAGTCAGAATTAGACTGGCATTTGGCCAGGTTAGGTTAGGTTAATAGGGTCAGTTATACCTAACCGCTAGGTTATAGCTAGGTTAATAGAATTTCTATATCTAACCACGGTTAAGCCGAAAATTGGACAGTTAATCTAGATTAACTGTATTTAATATTAAGATTATTAATCTTTATTAAATATAGTAGACAGTAAGCTAGATTAACTACAGTTAATCTAGTATTAATCTTACTATCCTAACTGACTGTAAAAATATATTATTAATAATTTTAAAAGATTCTGTTTATTAATTCTATATAAAAAGAAAATATATTTTTTATTAAAAATTCTATCAAAACTAA